GTGAAAGACTTCGAGATCTGTGCAACAGATACAGGTTACTGGCTCCAGCGACACTGCCAGAATACCAGCAAGGGCCATCGTGGACTCACACTGGAGTCAAGTGAGCAAGAAACCGCATAGACTTCATCCTGGTGTCTGCGACATGTCGAGAGAGATAGCATCAAATCTTCATTTGTCGACTATGAAGTTGACGTGCTCAATGGAGACAAGGATCACCAGGTCGTGGTGCTTCAGTTGGAAATCACTTTGAAGTTTGGGCGGCGAGATGGTCTTCAAAGAAGGCCGTTCTATGACAGGACCGCGGCCAGAGAGCACAAGAATCAAAAGGGTGTCTCTTTTCTGGCAGACTTCTCTCTCCAACCCTGGGAATGTGATCTCAATGAACACTGGACTGAACTGCGTGATCATGTTCAGCACAAATGCAAAAATTGGTTTCCGAGGCCAAAGAGGGTGCAGAGGCAGCATTACTTTTCGGAAAAGGCATGGAACCTGGTTTGCAGAAGGAAAGATTTGCGAATGGAACATCGAAGCATGCAGAGAGGTAGAATGCTTTGTCAACTCAGACTCTATTTCCAACTGTGGAGAACTGGACAAGCACGAGATGATGACATTAACAATTGGGAAATGCAAAACCATCTCATGTTGATGCAGGAAGCAGTTGTTTTGGAAGCCAGACGATCAGTTGATGCCGATTTTCGGGCGCTCAAGCGTAGAGACTGGAAGGAATGGGTTTGTCGTCAACTTCAAGAGACCATCTCGCAGATGCAAAATGCCAAAGCTGCGGAGATTTACAAAATCTTGAAACCAAAAAGGACATGTGACAAGAAATTGGGCAAAAAGCGGCAGCCGCTTCCTGGCCTTCAAGATGCTGATGGAGTCTGGCAGAAGTCCAGAATGGATATTGCAGTGGCATGGGAAAAGCAGTTCGCGGGCATCGAAAACGCTGATCAGATTCCCTTTCAAGAATTGATGCAGAAATCCATCGCCTCTTGCCAGCTCATGACAGACCAGCAGCTGTTGGAAATTCCCACCTTATACCAGCTTGAGCAGGCCATCAGAGGCCTTCATGACCAGAAGGCCACTGGTGCTGATGGAATCGGTGCTGAAGTGTGGCAGACGCAGGTTGCCGATGTTGCACGGCGAGTCTATGCGCTCTTTGTCAAAGGAGCGGTGAGGCGCCAAGCCATCGTTGAGCATACAGGTGGATGGTTGCTACCTTTGTACAAAGGCAAGGGCAATCCATGCAAGATGTCTGGCTACAGAGCAATACTTCTTGAACCTACGCTTGGACGAATGTTCTCCAAGACATGGAGACAAAGTCTGGTGGAGGGATTGGCAGCTGTTGCCACGCCTATGCAATGGGGTGGGCGAAAGGGTCTCGGAATAGAACCCCTGCACCTCCAGGTGAGGCTTTGGCAAGACAACGCGAGGCACAGCAAGCAGTCATTGGGCATTCTGTTTTTGGACCTGAGACAGGCTTTTTATACTGTCGTGAAAGGTATGATAGCATGCGGTGACGATTCCGATGAAGCTATCGCCAAAATCTTTGCAAAGCTCAAGCTTCCACCATCAGCGTTTCATGAGTTTGCCAGCAATGTCACCAACGGCAATTTAGTCGCTGCTGCCACCAAGTCGGCACTTGTGGCGGACAACATCAGCGCAAACCTTTCGCACACATGGTTCGCCGTCCCAGGAGGAGGCGGCACGTGGTCGCCGCAGACGGGAACCCGCCCTGGAGATCCGTGCGCTGACATCCTTTTCTCGTTTCTGATGTCGAAGGTGTCGCACGAGATCTCCAGGCGGGCAAAAGAGCATGGCATTCCGCTCCTGCAGCAGGCCAGTGTGGGGGACGTGCCCATGATGGTGACATGGGTGGATGACGCGGCTATTGCCGTGCAAGACTCAGCAGACAATGTGGTGGACAAAGTGGTTGAAATTGTCTCCATTGTGCAAGATGTGATGACAGTTCATGGGTTGCAACTCTCCTTCGGTCAGGGCAAGACAGCAGTTTTGCTGGATTTTTGAGGGCCGCAAGCTATTGCTGCGCGACAGGCATGTGAAAGAGCCCTTGGGCAAAGTTTGCAGGTCATGTCAGAGCATCAAGGAGTTGTGCACGTGCCGTTGGTATCTCACTACAAGCATTTGGGTGGACAGATTGTTCGTGGCGGTACGAAACTCCCGGAAATCAATATCAGAGCAGCTGCTGCACGACAGAACATTGCCCCATTGATCAAAATCATCAAAAGCAAAGAGGTTCCACAGGCTCAGAAGAGCATGTTGATTCGTAGCTTGGCTCTTTCTGTCTTGAGGTTACACTCAGGTACCTGGCATGCAATCAACCATGGAGAAGCAAAGGCATGGATTGCGGCAGTTTTCAGGCTCTACCAGATGGCGGAGGGCCGAAGTGTCAGTGGTGAAGTAGAGCACTGGGAGCTCTACCAACTTGCTGGTAAGTTGAAACTGCCGATGCCAATTGAAATGCTTTACATTGAGCGCTTGCGCATATTTGCCCAAATTTTGCAAACGTTTGACCAACATGCCATTGCCGCAGTTATCCACAACCATCATGTTGCTGGACATGAGTCATGGCTGCATGGGTTGATACAAGCTGTGAAATGGGCACAAGCTCAAATTGGGATTGAGGAGATCCCTCATGAGATGCTTGATCTGACCGAATGGCAGTGCAGGAGAGATTTTCAGGACAGTGTGAGTGAAATCCGAAAGAAGATCAAAAAGATTGAACGTGCTCATTTACTGAAGGTGCAGACATATTGTGATCTCAAAGATTTTGAAGCTTACCAAGAGGGAATTTGCAGAGATATGGGTTGGACATATGAAGCCGACCAGAGTAGTCCTCTATCGGGTGAGCAACAGGCCAGATGCGAAGAGTGCAGTCAAACATTTGCAAACTTTGCTGCATTAGCCACGCATCAACAGCGAAAGCATGGACATAGAATGGCAATGAGGAGGTTTGTGAAAGATGGTATTTGTCGTGCGCGCCAAAAATGCTTTCACTCGCGTGGAAGATTGTTGCGACATTTACAATGGAGTGGCACAAAGTGTTGGATTTTTCACATCAGGGTTTTTCAGCCAATGAGTTGTCAGCAAGCTGAGGATCAAGACCAGGAAGATATGGATAGAGGTGTGGCTCTCCATCAAAAAGGTCTGAATTCGGCGGTTATTGACAAGCAATGGCGTTGGGCAACTGATGATGAGATGAAACCAGTCCTGGAGGCCACGGGTTGGAATGGCGAACACAAAGCGGAGCCTACAACAGAGGAACTGCAGACATGGGCAGCTTTGGGGACGCTTCCTCCGGGTCAAGGGGGTCATCCTAAGACCTCGCGAGGATTACAAGAATGGAGTGTGCCAAATGTCTCCAGAGATGTCTCCAAGCTTGAGCACCAAATGCTGGAAAATGTCAAGCGATGGACTCCATGCTTTGACTGGATACCAAGGCCGCTGGCCACAGGAGAAAAATTTTTCCTCATCCTTTACAGCGGCCATCGCAGATGCGGTGACATTGCTTCGTGGTTCCAGTGGGATGGCCGGGTGCGGCCAATAGCCATTGATGTTGCCGTGGACAAGGAAGCAGGTGACATCATGAATTGTGATTTGTGGATTAGGCTCATCAAATCACGAAGAGTGGTAGGGGGGCACGCAGGCCCCCCCTGCGAGACCTACACCAGTGCGCGTTGGAACCAACTGGAAGGGGAGGTGTGTCCGCGGCCGTTGCGGGATTCAGATCAACCATGGGGAAGAGACTTTCTGACATTGCGCGAAGGCCTACAAGTCAATGTTGGAACAGCCCTGATGCTGATGGCACTCCGATTGTTAGTGACAATTTTTATCTTTGGTGGTTCGATCAGTCTTGAGCACCCGAAGGGCAATCAAGAAGACACCAGACAATGGTGTATCTGGCAATCGGCCTTTATGCGGTGGTTGCTCTTGGACGCACAAATTCAGACCGTGACCTTCCTTCAGGGTCCTCTGGGGCAGAAGTTTGCAAAGCCGACTACAATGATGGTGGGTCGCTTGGCTAACTTTGCACACCGTATTTTTGCCACTTACAACAAAAAGTGGCGAGCCACAGAAGTGCTTGGAGGAAAAGAAGGTCAAGCATGGAAAACCGCCAAGGGTAAAATTTACCCTACAAATCTATCGATGGTGATTGCGCAGTCACATCTTGACATATCTTGACCACTACGTTGAAGCACCAGTCTCTGGAGATGAGCCCTTGCCCGAGGGATTGGATTCAGTGCTGCACAAATTAGCAGCACCGTTTGATGCTTACAACGGGATGGAAGGACAGATGCAATCAGATTATCATTTGCGGCGTGGTTAGGTAAATCCTCCTCCTTTTAGTAGCCAATCATTTGATTGAAGTGAACGGAGTTGAGTTGTAGGGTTTCTAGCCTTGCCCACTTTTTGATTTTCTTCGCATGTCTCACAAGTTTTCACCTGCTTGGTCACAGTACCGAGTTTTTGGGTGGAGCACGCATGCAGGCGACATTGCAGTGTCTCGAGCCAAGAGCAATAAAAAATATATATATATACGTATATATATATATATATATATACGTATATATATATATACGTATATATATATATATATTATGTATGTATGTATATCGCATATGGATATATATATATATATACATACATATATGCAGATTACATAGAGCATGGACTTCGTGGGAACATTATATTATAGTGTTTGGTGGCATTTCGCGCTCAGACTGGGCGGGATCAGGTGGCCTGTTTGTCGTCCATGGGTGGGATGTAAACTTTTCGATTTGTAACGGTTAGTATAGCAACCCATTGAGGGGTACTATTCATTTCTGTTGATAGTAAAGACTCTGAGATGTGAATGTCAATGGATTGGTTTTCACGGGAAAATCTTAAGAAATCATAGATTTTCCCATTAGATATGGGGTTTTCCTGTAATTTTTCCCTTAAACCAATGTACTTTGGGAGGGCAGCCTGGCCGCCATTTTCAGGGCTCTAGCTCCGCTGTTCCACGTGGTCCCTGCCTACGCAGTGCTGGTGGTGAAGGGTGATGCGAACTGCGCGGCTCCCAGGGCCCTAGTGGCTCGGCAAAGTTGTCCCATGGGTTCTTGGGACCCCATTTTTTGCGGAGGTACCCTCTGGTAAACCTACAAAAAACGATGGAAAATCACCATTTTTAATGGGAAAATCCACTATTTCTATGGCCATTTTCAATAGCTATGTTAAATAACCAGAAACTGGTACCCTCTGGTTATGACTAACATAGCCGTGGAAACCATGGCCCATAGAAATAGATGATTTTCCCAGCGAACGAAACCTCCATTTATTTTGGGGATTTTCCATGGCTATGTTAAATAACCAGATGGTAGATCCAGAAAAATCGGTTGTGACCACCAAACCACCAATGTCATTTTGAAATGTGTTTTTCTATGGGCAAACTATGTGATTTTCTCTTCTTTGCCCACCTAGTTCTCCCATGTTCTCCCAGAAGTTGCACCTGGAGAGGATGGGAACTTCTATTCCTTCGAATTGGCTCGTGACTTTGAGCCCTTCGTTCGGTGCCCCAGGGGCCCCAGGGATCCCCGATCAGAACTGACCAGCAACATAGCTTCATATAGCCGCAGCATGACGATGACACTATGGTTGAATCCATTCGAACATATTTTTGAAGGGGTTACAATATATAAATATACACATATACATATACATATACATTATATACATTATATACATTATATACATTATATACATTATATACATTGTTATTATCATTATTATCATACTAGTAATATATATATATATATATATATGTATTTATATAGTTCCATTCGCGGGGATCATCTTCTTAGTCCCCCAGGTCCAAGCTGTGGAGCGGTCGCTCCTGCGGAGCCCCGAGGGACGAGCGCGTGCGGAGGCCCGGAGGCCGAAGCGCGTGCGCTCGTGAGTGGAGGGCAATGACCTCAGGATGAGCCCCGATTCCTGGTATTTTCTGGTGTTTGATGTGGTAAAATGTGGATTTTGCCATGGGAAAAATGGGAAAATCCATGGTCAAATTGGTGAAATCCGATAGAAACCGGAAATGATGCTTGAAATTGCGTTTTTTTTTAAAGGGATAGGTCTGATTTTTCGATGAGGGTGATGAGATTTTTCACCCAATGATTCCACTGCCACAACACTGGGTGAATCTATTGATTGGGGTGGTAAGATGAAACCCTTGTGAGCTTGAAAGCAAGATGAAGGGTCTTTCTGACTTCTTGGTTTTCCGGCGCGGTTATTTTGAGAATATTGGAAGATTGATCAACCTGACCTGAGGTGACAATGCAGCAGCCTTTTGGGACTTTCTGAGATACCCCAGTGATGCAGCCAGGGCCTAAGACCCTTGGCAAAACCATGCCAAAAGGGCCAAGGTGCACAGTCAGTGCTAAGTGTTCGGAACCCCCCCTGGTGACTCACATTGATTTACCATGCAAACTTCACATGCATGCTGCAACTACAGCCATGGAAGTAGTGATGAATGTAGATTCGGAACCGGTAAAGCTTCACTATGAGGTTGCCAGCGGGGCGGACATCTTCAGGCCACAGGGTGGTGGCTATAGCAGCTAGCAACTAGTCACTGGTGACTCTGATTGTTCTTTTGTTTGTTTTTAAGTGTGTATATATATAATAATTATATATACATTGAGTGAGAGAGAGAGAGATAGATAGATAGATAGATAGATAGATAGGTAGATAGATAGATAGGTAGATAGAGATAGATAGATAGAGATAGATAGATAGAGATAGATAGATAGAGATAGATAGATAGATAGATCGATAGATAGATAAATAGATAGAGATAGATAGAGATAGATAGAGATCGAGATAGAGCTAGAGATAGAGATAGAGATAGAGATAGATAGATAGATAGATAGATAGATAGATAGATATGCATATACACTTGCCACAGTGGCCCCTTCCCATTCCTACAGACAACAGTCATTGGACCCATATTTGATGGGTAAAACCATGTTTTCGTTCTGATTTCCCAGAAATCATCCCAAAAATATAGAGGTGCCAAAATGATGATGTAAATGATGACAAATGGGGTGCTTGCAACCACTGGGATGCAGGTGCATGCCTCTAACATGAAGTCAAACAAGTGAACCCGCTGAATTTAAGTTACCAGAATTTGAATGTAGTCGTAAATTGGATAATCCCCAACATTTTTGACTTTTTGACTATGGATGGCAATGTTATCCTGGATAGACGTGGGAAACATATCATGTTTATTGATGATATGGATTATCAATTTCATTGATGATACCGGGTGTGTCTTTTAATCGTCAATTTACAACATTTATGAAATTGAATCATCAGATTACATCATTAACCATCATGAACCATCATTAACCATCATTAATCACTAGTAACCACCATTTAAACCATTGAAAATCATTTATATGGATCAAAGGCGATTTTCCTCTGCAGATGATGGATTCCAGTTCCTGAGATGATCCCAGATATTTGGCGCCATTGGAAGACATGCTGGATTTGACCGACGGCATTGGACCCTGTGCAGCTCCAAGGAAGGCGGCTGATCAATGCTGATCATCATCTATTTCTATGGGCCAGTTTCTATAGCTATCTGAAATATCCAGAGGGAAATTTCATAGAGATAACATAGATCACACTATCGGAAATTTGACATTGTTTGCTACTGTTTCTAGTAGAAATACAATGTTATGATTGCATGATTATAGAAACTATGATTTTTGGAGTAGAAATAGTAGAAACAATAAGTGGTAGTAAGTAATAATATGTGCACACATATAGATGTGAATATTATTATTATCACAACGGGAAGCATCGGGCAATCAATGTCATTAAACTATAGTGGGATGTATGACAGCGAAAAGACGGTGATCTCCAAGAATACCTTCTGGTAATTTGTTACGTAGCTATTGAAAATGGCCATTTATAGTGGATTTTCCCATTAAAAATGGTGATTTTCCATAGCTATGTTAAATTACCAGAGGGTAAATGGGATAGAACTGCTGGAATGTGATTGATGCATATTGATGCTACATACAATGGCAGGATCGGATTGTCTTAAGAGAAAATCTTGACTGGAAAACGTGGTTTTTGCAATCAAATGTAGGGGTTTCTGGTTTCAATTGTCCCTTAAACTAATCCAAGGAATAACATTTTTCATGGCAGACAATCTTTGGGCATCCTAAGCCCTAAAGTGTAAGGATATGATAGAGGTAAGAATGGATGGAACCAGCAAGTTCGTTTTTTTTTTAAAGCTGCAATGCTCCGTCGTAATTTAACATAGCGATGGAACGTCGCAGTTCAGAATAGGCAAAATCATTTAAGTAACTGAGCCATTTTCATCCATTTTCCAGTTCGCAACCTCTTGCATTACCAGAGGCTATGCGGTTGGTCATGATGTCATGAGCACCTGCAGTTTGATGACTAGAGACAGCATCCCAAGAAATCCCTTTCTTCCAGGGAAGAGTGGTTTCCATCCCGACTGAGAAGCGAGTAGCATCTTGACTCAGCAACTGGAGGGTTGCCACTGGTTGCAGCTGGACTGTTGATCATTGGGGATGATACCATTCCAGCTGCATGTCATTGCGGCAACCAGCACCAAGCCCAGGAGCATGTCTTTACCAACTGCCAGCCTTTGGAGAGAGACAGCTGCACTGAGCAGGAGCGAGAATTCATTGAAACTTGCTGCAGAAGATCTTGGAAGATTTGGAAAATTGGTGATCCTGCCGATTCCTGCCGGGTTTTTCGAGAACTTTGAAGTCACCCACAAATGCAGAGTCCACAAATGAATGGGGGCAAGGCTAGGCACATTTCTGGAATGGGGGACCTTGCGCTGTCGATGTCTCACTGCCAGGGAGCATCTGTGAGTGAAAGATGTGATCTAAGGACGCCGCTGATCTGCAAAGGGAGTCGCAGGTGCGGACGTGAGCAAGCTGAATTGGGAACCCTGAAAAACCAATGGCAGGATATACTCTCCAGTAAGCTAACATAACTATGGAAAATGGACCATTTATAGATTATTTACCTACCAAAATGGTGATTTTCCAGTTCGCTATGGGCTATGTTAAATTACCAGAGGGTAGCAGCAGGCTTGTTTTGGTGGGTTCCCTTGCAGTTGGCTTCAGCGGATCGCGGATCGCAGATGGCTCATCATTTCACCTATTCGACCTATGATCGGCCCCATTTGACTCAGAACCACCAACTGGATTTGTTTGGAAGGAGCTTACCCCCAAATCCAATAAAGCTGCCATAAATCCGGGTATAAATACAACCTTTTTGAGCAAATCCAAAACCATCGCTGGGTACACACACATATATATATATATATTCCATGGGATTCCCTATTATTCTATATCCTATTATCTTTATTTGACACCCATAAAAAGGTCGGTCTTATCTTCATTCTTCAATGAGCTGGTTGTCTCTACCCCCACGTTTTCCATAAAATCCCGTGTTTTGACCCATGTTTTTTCCATCTAATGGTGGGTTACACCTTTTTCGCATCTATTTTTTGACCAAAAAAATAACACCTGGCCTACCCATCGCCCCCTGGCGTTAGGTCGAGCTAGAGCTCCTTCGCATGTCCCAGCTACTGGACATGTCGCAGTCCACCACTGAGCCGCGCAATGCGGAACTCTTGGATCGAATGGCGACTTGGAGAAACCATGAAATTTCATGAATTTTTAGGGAAAATTGACCAGAAATTCATGGATTGACATGGGATTTTAGTTTGAGTCGAATTTAACCAGAAATTCATGGATAATCCCTTCCTCCTAATACTAAACCCCCCCCCCCCTAATACAAAACACGGCAAATAGTTTTTAGTATTAGGGGGGTATTTATTATTAGGGAACCAAAATATTGCCAAAAATGGCAGTTCGAAGCTTACCCCTAATACTAAATTAAAACCCTTAATAATAAAAACCATTTTTTCCGATCTCAAAATCAATTAAATTTCCTTATATAACGCAATTAAAATATTGCCAAAAATGGCAGTTCGAAGCTTACCCCTAATACTAAATTAAAACCCTTAATAATAAAAACTATTTTTTCCGATCTCAAAATCAATTAAATTTCCTTATATAACGCAATTAAAATATTGCCAAAAATGGCAGTTCGAAGCTTACCCCTAATACTAAATTAAAACCCTTAATACTAAAAACTATTTTTTCCGATCTCAAAATCAATTAAATTTCCTTATATAATGCAATGAAAATATTGCCACAAATGGCAGTTCGAAGCTTACCCCTAATACTAAATTAAAACCCTTAATACTAAAAACTATTTTTTCCGATCTCAAAATCAATTAAATTTCCTTATATAACGCAATTAAAATATTGCCAAAAATGGCAGTTCGAAGCTTACCCCTAATACTAAATTAAAACCCTTAATACTAAAAACTATTTTTTCCGATCTCAAAACCAATTAAATTTCCTTATATAACGCAATTAAAATATTGCCAAAAATGGCAGTTCGAAGCTTACCCCTAATTGCTAGAGTAGCCAGGCAGCTTGGAGTGAGGGATTGGGACTAGGCCCCCCTAATACTAAACACCCCAGGGTGAACTAGTTTTTAGTATTAGGGGGGAGAACCCACAAATGGTAGGTTGATTTTTAATTGTTTTTTAAAGGGGATCAATTACAAGTCAAATTGGCCAAACTGAAATTTTCGGAAATTGGAGATGGATGCCTGTTTTTAGTATTAGGGGGACGTTTAGTATTAGGAGGAAGGGATTATACATGGATGGCCAGAAATTGAATTTAGCCAATGAATAGAGATTTCGCCAGAAATTCAAGGGATAAGTCATTCTGATTTGAGTGAACACTCAACTTTTAGCAAGAATTTCATCATGGATATCATGGGGATGTTGTGGGATTTGCCCATGAAATGTAGGGATTTCATCATGGACATCATGGGGTTTAATCGTCAACTGGAAATCCATGGGGATTCACCTAGCTGGGTCAGCAAAAATGGCGGGGAAATCCAAAAGTGTCCCCATGGAGGTTTAGTTCACGATGGTTTAGTTGGCTTTGAATCATCGAAAACTCGGGATTTTCCGGCCCATGTTGCAACAAAGGATGGCATTTTTTTGTGATTTTTTCTGGTTGCCAAGATTCCATGAGGTTGGTGTTCCAAAAGTCCAGCATGCTACGATTTGGCGACGATTTGGCCTCTTTTTTTGGGGGGGATCGTTTGCCAGACATGACTGGCAAACGACGATTTTTTGAGCAACCCAACATCCTTTTTTCCAGCCCTTGGTGTGGTGTTCATGTCCAGGGGATTGGTTCGATATGTTCGATGACCATCGGCCTTCACAGGACGTCTAGAAATTCTAGAAGCAGGTTTGACTTCCTGAAAACTGGGATTGAAACATATTTCTATTCTGCTTCAAGCTATACTATCTATACTGGGATCTAAAACAGAGTACCAGGGAGAGGTTGGTGATCAGATGGAGTTATAGACGGCCTTGAGTGATGACAAGAAATGTAAGGTGAAACCTTACCTACCTTGACTTTGCAACCTTTTGATGAACTCAGAAGTTCGATAGATTGGTCATCTCAGACCATCGTAAATGCCATCGACACAACCATACCGCTGACCGTAGGTATTTCATGTTATTCTGCCCCAAATTATAATATTAATATTAATACTTCTACAGACAATTACGAACAACTTTTTGGTTATTAGTAATAATAAACACCAATTACTAGTTCCAATTCCAGTGGTTGTTTTTTTCACTCGCCACTAGCTGAACGCTGAACTCTTCGAGAAGGCGATGGAGAGAGAGAGAGAGAGAGAGAGAGAGAGATAGAGATAGAGAGAGAGAGAATGTTCATGATCTTCAAGCCCTGAATAAGCAACCAGTTTTTTTCTGTGGAAAAAACCCCGGAGATCCTGGATCATCCCACCAGACAGCGAGATCCTAGGTAATCCTGAAGCGCCTGAAGCGAGAAAACTCGTGGCGCTTCGGAACTTCTCCCGAAGATGGTCGCGGGCAGGGGAAAATAGATGGAGATGGATGAAGAAAATGACGCAGCAATGCATGATAATATCAGAATTTGGGGATGAACCCGTATTTTACCTTGTTTTTCTGTTTGGTGCGAACATAAGGCTACCAGGGTAAGCAACCCGAACCCATTTGGAAGATGTCATGATATCTGGGGGTGTAATTCGGGTAAAGCAGCCATGAGTTGGAATGCAGTTGCTGCAGTGGGCATGCTGATAAGCAATGAGAGGAACAATGTAGATATGCTCCTGTACTTTTTTTTCTTCTATAATTTCCTTCAGGGAATGCATCATGAGACTCAGAGCACCCACTTTGCCGCAGACGCCAACTTTGCCGAAGCCAACCTTGAAGATACAATAACAATACATGGGTGCGTCCGAGCGTTAGTTTAGTCCATGTAGGTGCTCAGGTATACCAACTGGTTATTTAACATAGCCATGGAAAATCACCATTTTTAATAGGCAAACCATCTATTTCTATGGGCCATGGCTTCCATGGCTATGTTAAATAACCAGAGTGTACTGTAGATGGTCTCTCAACTTCTTGTTTCATCGTGGCAGATGGCTGATGATGTTCAACGCCTTTGCGGTCATGAAATGGCCATGTTGCTTGCAATTTTCTGGCTTCAGATTGCTGCAGTCTTTCCGCTATGCCCTCTGGTCAACTAACATAGCCATGGAAAATCACCATGATTCATGGGTAAATCAACATAAATCAACTATCAATGGCCATTTTCAATAGCTACGTTAAATTACCAGAGGGTACTCATCCAGAATATCTCCAGCTCAGACGCTTTCACTACGGCAGTGGGACGAATCCAGGACGTACCTCCTCCAAACAACGATCCGCCACACCGCGTCGCCAGCTTCGTCATGCCAAGCGTGGCTGCAGTCTGATTCTGAGCATTGTAGGGAAGCCGTCTGTTCTGCAAGGGCGGACAGTTTTTGGGGAAAATTCGAGTGAACTCATGTGGAATAGCATTTTTGGTGGGGAAATCTATACGATTTAGATTGATTGAGACTAGTGACTATCAGATGATTTTAGATGATGCTAAAGTCAGGCAAAGTCAACATAACATAACAATACATAACACAACTAAAGACATCTAAAAACCCATGAGTTCAACGGCTCGCCGTTGTGACCATAGCACCTGGCGAGGTGCAGCTACACTTGGGGGAAGATGGACCGATCCGTTGGTTGTTTCAGGTCTGGTTGCCATCCTGGAAGCCAGTGGGGAAACCACTGAACATATAGATCTGAAGCGCGAAAAGCATAGGGAGTTCAGAACGGGATTCTGTAGAGCTTTAAGTGGTCAAACATAGAGAAACGTACTGTTAAATCACTAGAAATATATTAATCTATGGGGATGTGATTCAGATGATTGATCAATAATGGCTGTATGTTCTCTTTACGGGGTTAGTACGTAGTACTACCCAGACCCTTTGTATCACTTTTTGTGGATGCTTTGTTGTTTAAATGTGTTCCATCCAAGGGCTGGGAATCCCCCCATAGAACATGAAAATTAACCTACATAAACAATAGAAATATAGTCGAATCAAACGGCAACTTTTTGGCCAAAACCATTGCGTTTATTTCCGACACTTCGAAAATTCCACCAGCCTCTTGGAACAAAAAATCCACCTGCGATCTATGGAAAATTCGACAAGAATGTAACCAGGAGTTCCAATACGTTCCAATGTTTTCATGGAGAAAATGAATGTTTGATTAGTTTGATTCTCCAATTCCTGGTTTATGATGTTTATGAGAATTGGGGCTTTGAGACTCCTGGATTTTCAACTGGTGCCAGGATTCCCTCAGGATGCAGACCGACTTACGCAGTCTAAGCAACTGGATGGTCCAAGGCCGCCAATGGCCTTTCCGCCCACAGGATGTGTCGACTTGGAACATGGCAAAGGAGGCAGCGACCTATTTCCAAGGCCGACATATCGCCTGGATTCTCAGCGGTTGGATACAAAGAGATTCGAGAATGGCGGCAATTCACAGTCTTGAAGAGCATTTTGATATATTTGGGGTGCTAAAGTTACGTACATATACGTACATATAAGTAATATATAGTAATATAAGCTCACATAAGGATATAAGAATATAAGATGAATATAAGATGAATATACGTATATCGGGTGTCATGTGGCGGATGAAAAACATCTACAAATTGCGTCTTGTTGGATGCTGAGCTCGGCAGACATTTGGTTCGATCAGTGAGGGGCGCCGAAAACGCCCAAAACGCGTCGCATCGCGTCGTATCCACTGCACCCGTCCCGAGCCATGGAGGAGCAGATCAAGGAGCGGATTTCCAGGGATCATCCCCTCCAGACGTCGGCAATCTGCTGAATGATCACTATATCTATCTCCGGTTAACGGACGAATCATGACTCAAAAAACATAGTGCCATGGTCATATGATATTGCGTCATATCATGCGTCATATCAGATATCATGTCTATGGTATTCCTATGTATCAGATTGTATCAGTATCTATGGTTACCCCACCTATCCAACTATCCTTCCGGATCTCTCTGCAGCCTGCTGAGGAGCTGGCTAAACGCCTTGCTGAGGGCATTCCGGACCAGCTGGGAACGGGGACATTCCACTTTTTTTAATCTACATCTGTAGGATGTTTCATGGATTCCCGTGTTGGTGTACCCCAGGGAAGAATAGTGACTCTCAGTTGTTGTTACTTAGCATGACACATGAAAATCATACAGTGCCGGCAAGACGTTGACTTTTTTCCTATGATCTCCCGTTGTTTTTTGACGTGCTGTGCTGATGGTTTTCACAGATGTCAGCGATGTTGGCCCGGAGACAGGAGTTGGAACAACGACTCGCCGACATTGAGAAGAAGTCAGACGGAAACAAGCAGGAGACCCGGGGTGTTTTTGATGGTTGACTTGGACAATGTTCAATTTAATGGGTAAATCCACTATAGGCCATTTTCAATAGCTCTGTTAAATTACCAGAGGGTAAGGAAAATGATGATCAACCGCCAATGGATTTTTGCTGGTTATTCGCGACGCCCGACAACGATTTTTATGTTCAGATTGTGGTCAGAATCTGTCGTCTCAAACAAAAAGTCAGTTCCTTGCATTTTCCCTAAGCCTCTAAGCCAAATCTAAGACCTACATTTTCCCCAAGTTTCTGGCAATTTGTAGCATTTTGTGCTTTACAGATCTCAGTCGTTTGCCAAGTTCTGGATTTGTTGACCAGTTCATCCTCAACCAACTTCCAGGAACTGCTTGACCGCATCATCGCCCTGGAACAGAAGTCCGGTGGCGCTGCTGGTGGTGGTGCACCCGCTGCACCAGAGGAGTTGGACATATAGCTGGTGTAGCTGGTGTTGGAGGATTTAGGGCCATTTGATTTTTTGGTTCCCCTGCCATTTTTCCAGACATCATCCATAGAAAAATTGCCCAGATTTTAGGGATTTGGTTGTTTCTCTGCTCAAAATTCAGGGGAAGTCTAGGGGAGTTGGGTTTGGAACCCAGGCTTTGTTGCTTGCTTTGCGCGCGCCTGTTTGATGGCTCCAGGCTTCTTGATGAAGCATGCCCATAGCGGTGACATAGTAAAGGAATGAAAAGGACATCAACAAAAAACATGTAAAGTAGCCTTGGCCAAGAGGACTAACCCTTAAAATCCGTCAACTAACCTGGTTGGTTTCACATTTTGGACACATTGATTCTCCATCCCTGGTAAAAACATGTAGAAACTATACCTGGAATCACCATTTCGTTGGTCGGACCTGCTGGTTACTCCGAAGCTTCAGCTGGCCCGGGGAAGAAGTTGCCAACGATTTTTCCGGCCACCTTTGATTACTGATTATATCTGGTTCTATGACTGGTGTATGATGGTATTATTAGCGTTTATTTTACTTCCGTTCCTTGCACTGAATGAGGAATTCCAATTGCTATTTACACCTTGTACATGTGCTACATTTCCATAGTTCCTGGTGATTCTATTATTCCATCATTATTCCATCATATTCTATGACTCACAGGGTGGTCATTGTCCAAAAATCTGACTCCATGGCTGCCTTAGCCGGCCCTTCTCTGGCCTTGTGGGCCCGGCCTCCACCCCTGCGGCCCCTGCGCATGTTCTCCTCGCCGCGCGTCCCGCGTCCCGCGGCCTTGAAGCCGCCGCGACGACGGGGCGACGGGGGCGAAGGAAACGTGGGAAACTGGGCCGAAACGGGGGAAGTCATCAACCCTTTGAATGGTGGGGACCCGGTGGGGACCCGGTGGGGACCCGGTGGGGGACCCCGGTGGGGGACCCCGGTGGGGGACCCCGGTGGGGGACCCCGGTGGGGGACCCCGGTGGGGGACCCCGGTGGGGGACCCCGGTGGGGGACCCCGGTGGGGGACCCCGGTGGGGGACCCCGGTGGGGGACCCCGGTGGGGGAACCCGGTGGGGGAACCCGGTGGGGGAACCCGGTGGGGGAACCCGGTGGGGACCCGGAGCCAAGCTTAGCTAGTTTAGATATATGTTTATATACAACCTTGGAATGTTTGGATTTTGGATGTCCCATGGGATGGCTAGATATGCCCAGCTTTTTGACCATGGCACACATGGCACACATGGTTCACATGTTTCTGTGATTTTTGAGTTTTTGAGACTTTCCAGCTCCTTATGAAAGACAGCCAATCAAACTGTTGTGAAGATTCATGCTGCGTCTCCAACAGAGCTGATTTCTGATTGGTCATGTTCATGTTTCAACTACTTTCCCACTATTTAGGGGGGCAAATGATACTGTAAGCCTCGAAATCAGCCCATATTTCCGGTTCTTTGCCCGTTTCCCAGAAGTTACATTTTTGCTTCCCCCTAAAATTCTGGGGTATCCTGTATCCAACGATTTCGATATTTAGCTCCCCCCCCCAAAAAAAATTGAAACATCTTGAAGCCCAGGGATTTGGGCGAAAAACAACTCCCCAAAGAAGTTGGAAAAGACCTTGTGTTCGTGGACATCGTGGACCATGTTGGGTCCATTTCTGTTTTTAGGATGGGATCAACTTCGTCATTTCCTTCATGTAAGTCGCGGCTTGATGACGCTCCTGCTGTGGCCCATACTGGTGCATTCGCTTTTCACATTTACGGATGTCATGAATCGTTGCTGGGTATGTTTGGAGAACTTGGGGCGACCTCATGCGACCTTCCTGATGTGACAAGAGTGGTATTGACATCTATGGAATACTAGGGGTTTCTAGGGGTATGGGATTGTTTGAGATTATGAGTATCAATGGTTGTACATTGTAGATGGGCAATATTTCAAAAATTACGCACCTTGGGCCCGCGGGTAACGATACGTCGGTGTCTTAAGTCCAGTGACTACATGAGCTCGTCACATGTTCCAGTGGGGCGAATGTAGGCCTTTGAGACGCCAAAACATGTCAAAACTTTGGCACACTCTAGCGCACATCAACATATTGTCGCATCGAAAAACATGAGACTTTGAGATGTTTATCCCCCCCCAGTCCAAACGTTTAATACAAGTTTTGATCCCTTAATGTGAACAATGTTGTCAAACATGCAGGCTTGACATTCACCACTTCATTCACCAGTCTTTTTTTACACATTTTGATCCCAGTGGGATCCCCTTGACATTCCCAGGTTGGGATCGAATGTTCCACCACCATATTTTCGTCCGCATTGTCGTCTTCATTGGCGCAGCTACGTGGCTGATGAAGGCTTCGTTGACCATGAACTTTGAGAGAAGCACTAGGGCCCTGAGTCAGTCCTTGGCTGAGACCTTTGAAAACTTTGGGCTGCAAGGATGGCTGTCAGCGAAAATATCCAGATTTATCATCACTGTGACTTGGAGAAAATCGTCAGCTTGAATGTTGTTGCGGATATGTTTAAGTACCAAGGAAAGTCACAATCGCAAAAAGAAACCTCATCTTTTATAACTGTTTATAGTGAGTTTCATCATTTACCCAAACTAAGTTTTAATACTTCAATATCTATATCTATCTATATATCTATATATCTATATATCTATATATCTATATATCTATATATCTATACGTTTTTTTTTAAAAAAAATAAATAAATATATATATATAGTCTAGTTCCATAACATGTCATCATGAATTGATGGATCATCTCCCCATACATTCCCCACGAGGTGATCACAGGCCTGTCACGCACCACCCTGGCCTTAGCCGCGGTGAACTTCGGAGTGCGGGTGCTGCCGGACTGGTGGTCCCTAGACCTCACCAACTCAGTTTCTTGGGGATGAACATCTTAACCGGAAACCATTGGGAAACCATGGTTTTTACCATGAAATATAGGGCTTTCCGGTTTCAATGTTCCCATCCAATTCTATGAAACATGATGAAACTCTTTGTTGAATGGATTTTGTTGACTGTTTTTTTGTGGGAAATATGTTTGAATGATCAAAGTGGTAAGCCTATTTTTTTCAAACAGATATATACTTTGAGATATTGATGTTCAGCCGTGTTTTTTTTATCCATGTTTTATCGCCAATTCATGTTCAACCATTGGAGAAAAGTCCTGATTAATCATTGATAATGATGACTTTGTTTAATTCGTTCATTTTTCGGTTCTTTTGGACCCCATTTGGTCGATGATGAGTTTTGGGATTACATCATGCTCAATATGTCGACTCCATCATACAGGGGAATCTGCAACATTGGCACTTGAGTCAGTCAACATTCCATCCGCCACCGATGCTACCGGCTTCAGGGGCCCCTTTTTAGGCCTTGACCTAACCTGAGCCATTGGAGCTCTTCCGCGCTGTGGCGCTGGCAAAACAGACCTCTGTGGTCTTTGCGGCTTAGCGTGAGGTTGGAGAGGACTTTGGTGATTGGAAGTGTGTTCAGCATCCCCCAGCAAAGAGCCCAATACCTACTGCTGGCTACCACCGCTACATTGGTAGCGGAGCAGTGATCGCTCCAGGCGACCTGCTCCAGCTGGGTGGATTGCTGAGGGATAGCAAACTACTTGCTGTTCTTCTTTGCCAAGATCCCAGGTCTAGCATTTGCTTGCGCTACTTCCCTTGTGCACTTGCTTGGACTTCAAGCCCTACTGGCTGATTCGGAAGATTGAAAACCACGAGCTCTTCCGGCTGATCAGGAAGTATTTGCCCAAGATTGCTAGCACCTTTTGTGTTTTCACTTTTTCCTTGAGGACTTCTTTTACCAGATCTCTGAAGAGACCTTTTACCAGTTTTCCCTGAAGCAATGGCATCGGACGGTAAAGATGTGATTCCTAGCTGGGATGGTTCTGCCCGTACATGGAGAAGGTATACTAGGGAGGTTGCATGGTTCTTTCGTGCTACACCATCACACAAACGAAGATATGTAGCTACAAAACTGTTGAGCAGGTTGACAGGTTCTGCACGTCTTTTGGCTATGTCATGGACGGATATGGCTTTGGATGACTATGATGGCACTCGAACCTTGCTTCGAAGGTTGTCAGCCAGCCCTCTGGTCAGGCAGTCGCTGCCCAACGCCTCAGCGATATGCTCCCAGTACTTTGACTTCAAGAGGCGCCCTGGCGAACCGATGACGGCATTTCTAGTCCGTGAATCTCTAGGCTATGCTGAATTTGTTGAATCCCTAGTTCGTCTTGCAGAAGAGAAGAAGGGTTCTAGCTCTGAGACTTCTGATTTTGGTTTACCACCGAAACCTCATGATGATGTTGGTTGGGAATATGATGAATGGTCACATGATGATGGGGGACTTGGTTGGTTTTGGCAACATGATCAAGATGATGTGGGGGTTCAAACTTCTCCTGCATCAGCTGCTGCTGGACCCGCTGGAGACAGCGGCTCGCCTGCGTATCAACGAGTTCCTCGTGACTCACCACCAAGTCGGCGATCTGCTGGCGTCCAACCATCATTCTTTGCTGAGGACAAAACTGAAATCAACGAGCTGACTTTTGCTGACTCCTTTGTTTTAGGCGTTTTGCGAGGTTTTAGAATTCTTCAAGCTGCTGGTCTCACGCCAGATGAGCGACGGGTGATTTTGTCATCTACACGAGGCTCACTGGAATTTGAGGAGATCACTAAAGCACTGCAGACCTTATGGGACGAACAATTTGCTGGCCAACGCCATCAGACTCACCAGGCTCATTTTCAGGAGTCTTTTGCTGCAGAACGAGATGAACATGAAGATCAGTTTTGGGAAGATGCCAACTATGCTGAGGACTGGTCATACTATGACTCGTCATGGGACTGGCCAGAAACTTATGTTGCAGAGCAAATTCCTGAAGAACCACAGGATAATCCTGAAGATGATGCGGCCATTCGAGAGGCTCAGCAGGCAGAAAAGGTGGCCGAAAGCCTGGCAGTTGAGGCCCAGCGTACTTGGAGTGAGGCACAGCGTGCCACCGCAGCCTTGAGAAAGGACAGAGGCTTTGGTCAACACTCCATGTCTGGCAACAGTCAGAAGGGCAAGGGCTGCTGGATTTGTAATGGTCCGCATCTCTCACGTGATTGTCCTGACCGGCAACATCCACACTATACCAAGGGCAAGTCCAAGGGCAAATTTGGCTATGCTGCAGAGTTTTCACCTTGGGACTACCAGGCCTATGATGACTTCTACATGGGCCGCTCCAAGGGCAAGAAGGGCAAGTCTCACCACTGGCTAGAGTCTCAAGCATGGCTCAAGGGCAAGGGTCCTCGACATGCTGGCTCTGGAAAGGGTCCTTTGAGACCACCAGTCAATGCGTATCACTCTGAGCTTTTTGTTGGCGGCCTGGAGATGCTTCGTAGTCCCAATGAGCTGCAAGCTTCCACAAAGGAGAGTTTGCCTAGCACCCATGGCCTTCTTATTGGCAAGCCCAGCTGGACCTTGCGGACCCAGTGACCTGGGGCCTTGTCCAAAGACAGCCAAGCGCAGAATGACATCCGCCAAGGCGATCGTCCCTTTTTCGCTCAACTGAATGGGCCCTTTGGCAGAAGCACTCTGACAAGGGGAGATTAAGAAAGAATCTCATTGGAGTGGTGGAGGAGCACAACATAGAAAACAAAGGTCGATTTTTTTTTCGAAGTTTAAGTGGGTGGAAATGTGAGCAAAGAGGTGTGTTAAGAAGATTGAAAGATCACATAAGATCGCATAAGGCATAAGATCGCTGTTGTGAGGACATTCATGAATTCACGTGTATTGGTTTAAATTATATCCAAGTTTTCTCTTAAAACATGTTAAAGCAAAAAAAAAAGAACCTGAACCTATTAAAAAATATTAGCTGGTGCAAGCAGTGAGACTTTGAGGAGGTGGGGATCATCAACACCCACGTGAATAGCAGGGAAGGTGTGCTGGTGCACGTTCCAAATCAGACTTTGTTGGATGACATTGTGGTGAACAAGTCCATGAGGGATTTTCGGCCCATCGAGGAATCAGTACACCTCATTCCCTCAAGCGTCCCGGATTTGCCCCAGCTGATCCAAGAAATTCAAGAAAGGTTGGAATCATTTGAAGGTTTACTGCAACAGGACGATGTTGAACGTTTAATACGCTTGCGCGGTGGTCGAATCAAACTCTTTCGGCCTCTATGCATGTTTGATGGCTATTGTGACCTGGGCTTGAAACTGAAAATCTATGCCTTTGCCCGTGGCAGTTTGAGCCGACGCTCCTTTGCCGCTTTGAAAAGCCAAGTGTTGCTGCTGGTTCATGACTTTCTGACGTCCCGGGGAGTGGAGATTGGACATTTGTCCGCATCTGACAAGCCCAGAAGGAAGAAATCCAAGAGAACTGAAGCTGAGGAGAAACCTTCTTTAGGACCTTTGGAGGCAATCGGTTGACTTTTTCGCTTGCTGTGACACCAAAAAGTCCAGGTTTCCTGTGTGCAAGGGGAATGTGAGGATATGGGGTCAGTGATGCTAGTGGATGCTGTCAGATCCTTTCTACTCCCACTTTGGAACGCTTTCGAACACCAAAAACAACAAATAAGACCAGCTCAGGTTCGGCATTTTTTCCGCCAAAAAAACCCTTGGGAAAAAATGGTACCCTCTGGTAAACTAACATAACTATGGAAAATCACAATTTTTAATCGGAAAATCAACTATAAATATCAATTTTCAATGGCTATGTTCGTTTACCAGAGGGTAACTATTTTGACTATGGCCTGGCCTGACCTTGTTGACGCCCTTGCCAGGAGGTTCATCAGCGCTTGTCTGCGATCGAAACAACTCACAAGAGTGAGCGCGAGGAAGCAGCTGGGGCAGAGTCGGGTCTAGTAATCCCTTCCTGCTAATATGAAATGCCGGCAAATACCCTCAGAACCTACCATAGAATCCCATAGACAAGTATGGTTTAGTATTGGATCCTTTAATTTTGGGTATAAGAATAAGTATAGAAATCATATTCAAAGGGAACCTCCATTCCATGTCTTTCCCATGCTCCTTTTTCCGGCGCAGGAGATGGAGAAGAAGCTGGAAAGCAACAAGAAGGTGCGGTTGGCGGAGCCTGACAGACATGGAGTGCATCCATTAACGCCAAACATTCGCCAAATCTGGCCTGTGATGCCAACATCATGGTGCCAACATCCGTTAAACATGCCGAGAATCTGGATTTCAACGGGTTGTTTATGGTTGTTTCCTGCTTTTTCCCGGCATTTGGGAAGAGTTGCCAAATTGATGGGAGATTTGCGGACTCCAAAAAGGTCCATGCAGAGTCCCATGTCCCAAGTGTCCCAAGTGTTCCAAGTCCCATCGGACATCACCCAAGTCCCATCAACTCCTTTTGCTTCAGTCCTAGTAATCCCCATCTGGTTGATGGTTTGGAACATTTTTATCATTTTTTTATACCTTTCCATATATTGGGAATGGAAAAATCATCCCAACTGACTTTCAGTCCATCATTTTTCAGAGGGGTAGGTAGGTTGAAACCACCAACCAGATTATTATTAGCCTTCATTAACCATATGCCATATAATATCCATATATTAACCATTATTATCCATATAATGTTAGGTTGAAACCACCAACCAGCCATAGATGTGACACACATCCCATCAGTTACCCGCTGGGTAACTCATGTCAGCGAGCTCAACTTCCATGGAAAATGGGCCAGAAAAATATCGAACAGCCTGATATGTGTTGCTAAAAACCAGATATAAAAGCATATAAAAACATATAAACACTTATAAAAACATACAAAAGCTATATAAATATATAAATAAATAGATATATATATATAACTATAACTATATAAGGTATATGGTTTCCCCAATGTTTCCTATGGTAAAAGCCATGGTTTCGTGTCACTGTCACAGGAGCTCCACGACCTCGTGACCTCCCTGGAGGAGAAGTTCGGATCCGGCGACGGCGAGGTCAAGAAGGGCGCAGAGACACAGATCATGAAGAAGGCACCCAGGGGGGTTGGGATTTAATATCTTCATAAGATTCAATAAGAATTAATATCATGAGATGTCCAATCATGTCAATAAGATATGATTAGAACCTATGTTTAATATCTTCAACAAGATGTGATTAGAACCTATGTGCAGCAGCGTAGCATGACGTATGTGTGGAAGTGCAAGAGAACGTGCAGCAGCGTAGCATGACGTGGCATGACGTATGTGTGGTAGTGCAAGAGAACATACTGCGTGGTTGCAGTCGCAATGACCGTTAACATCCCCCCCACCCCCCAAAACCCAGCCAACAAACACAAAGACAACAAGCACACAGAAGAGAAGAATGAAGACAGCACACGGCCCCTTAACAGCGTCGACACCATAAACATTAATATCAATAATTGTCAAATGGATTCAAATGATATACGTACGAAATTAAAACCAACAAATGATAATCATTGATTATAATGGGATTATCATATGATCATTGCCGGATATATAGCCATGGGATTATCATGGGATTATCTTGATAACAATTAATATCATTAAATCATTTCCATTCTAAATAATTAATCAATATCATGCAATACCGGCATGATAGCAATGATTAAGATGCTAATATCTTGATAATCATTGATTACCATGGGATTACATTCATTAATTAGTGGGTATTACATGTTTAAATGAGATTATAATCATATGAAAATCATTGATAGCATATTGATACCAAATAAAATCATTGGATCATCAATAAATTCCGATGGTTATATCTAGCATAATCCAATTGATAATCATTGAGAGTGGCAGCGCTAGTGGATAGGTAGTGACAGCCCTAAGGGCTATCCGGTCCTGAGGGCTATCCCGTAGATATCATAGAAATGAATTGATGATAAGGGTGTTTTTAAAATAATCCCATGAATGAGAACATGCCATTAATTAAATGCATATCATTACATTAGCTTTATATGAGATATGGAATGTACCAATATTGATATGTAATTTGTTGGGGCGCCTGTGATATCCCATTATATCCAATCATTAAGATATGATATACGCCTATAATATTAATGTGTCATAGGTATTGTTATAATGATAGAACGCCGCCAGTTATGATGCTTTATTCTGATGGATATAAGGATTGCTGCAATGAGAACATCTATTTTAATGGGATTTTAATGGGTAACGAACATGTACAATGGCCATTTAACATGTTTACATAGCAATGGGAACACATATTAGCCATGTTTTTTAGATATGCAATTGTTTTTCTGATGGGTATACAACGGTTGGCTATCATAGATTGATGGGCATAGCCATGGGATTATCATGGGCTTATCATTTTCAATGGGACGATCGGTGAAGATCGTTTCACACAACCTTTGTTGGGGGGCAAACATGTTGCAAAGTCAGATGCAAATGGGTTCCTTAAAAACATTTCAGAGAAATCTCAAGAGATTCAGTCAATTTGGGACATAGTATGAAAAAAAACAAAAGACCCCCCAGAATCTGCCAGGAGAGCCATAGAAAATCAGAAACTTGGGGAAAAGATGGCCATATATTGGTGGTTTGGAACATTTATACATTTTTTATTTTTCCATATATTGGGAATGTCATCATCCCAACTGACGAACTCATATTTTTCAGAGGGGTAGGTATACCACCAACCAGCCACATATGCTGAAATCTTCATTTGTCTGGGTGAAGGTGGCCACCCGCTTGCAAGACTTCGAATCTCAGATTACGGCTCAGTACCTTGGTTCAACCGAGGAGATATATTAGGGATATTGGAAGCCGGTAAGCCCCTAAAGCAGGTAGAACATTGACACAAATCGAAAAATCTAAGTTTAACTTTGATTTTTTAGTATATTTTGAAGTCGGTTTTTGTTTTTGAAAGTTGGATTTGATTTTTCGATTGGGCAGAAATCTATCTGCCTATGGGGATTTTAGATTTCCGGAACCAACTCACCGGAGCCATCCCTATGCCCTGGGTACTTCTTCCATGCTGCTGCAAGGTGGCTATGTTCTATTTTTTTTTGGGTGGGAAGGGATATGAAGGGATTAGAACCAAGGAAAAACCATTTAAGAGATGAATCATCTATATATATTTTTTATATGTTTTTTATATATTTTTGTTGTTTTTCACCCCTTTTGCGGCATAAAAACTTAAAACATGGCTGGAACATCCATTTCCTTCGCTGATATGTTTATTGATGTGCCCGTTGAGATGCCCATTTCTATAGATTTGCTCATCCCAGCTCCAAATCATAGGCAAATAGGAACATAGGGAAAACGATATAGTTTCAAACTATGGCAAAAAACATGAAAATCCACTATCAATGGAGGTTTTGATAGCATTTTATAGCCAACCCCAGCAACCCAACTGATCCACCTGCTGAGGTTGTCGCATGTGACCACCGACTTCGACAAGAAGTTATCCCACGTCCATCGCTCGTCAGGGACCACCAAGGCCATCGATGGCGTGGGCCCTGACACCGGCTTGGACACCATGGCAGAGGTCCGAAAAATGGCAGGATGTGGTAAAAACTGAGTAAACTGGTGACCAAAAGGTGACCAAAACCTGATTTAAGAACTGTTGATATAGCTGGTTGATGCTGGTTGAATGGAGGGATGTTGAGGTTCCTTATCAATGGTCAAAACATATGGAACAAACATGAATATGAACAAACACAATGTTTTCATGAATGCCTGCTACACATCATGGTTCCTTTCATGTCTTGTCCCTTAAAAAGCGACCCGGACTGTGACGACCCCGATGGTAGGACGTTGACCAACTGAAGTTCGACGTGGGCGAACTGAAAGACCTGTTGACCAACAGCAAAGGCCCGGGCGGAACGGTGGGAAATGCCTGAACCCAAGGGCAATTTTTTTGAAGGGAACTTCATTGGTTACTGACTGGGGGATTTTTCAGCAGGCCATGGTTTGGGATTGCTTGCGTACCTGAGGGCAACTGGGGATAATATACAGAAATGGATAAAGCACGATAAAGCACGATAAAGCGATATACCCTTGGGACATCTTGGGACTATTTGTGACCAAAACCTGATTGGGTGGATTTCTTGTCGGCATGTGTTTTTTTGGTTGAAACCAACAGCAGCAGTGGGGCAACTCGAAGGACCCAATCAAGAAAAATTTGGGGCTGATCCAGCCTGATCCAGGGGATCAGGGGCCTGGAGAAAGACCAGGGGGGGATGACACAAGGTGGGCAATGGAAAATCAGCCATTTATAATTAGATGGTATTTTCCCAGCTATATCCAGCTATAAACGTTCATTTAGTTCGGTGATTTTGCAGCTTGCCATTTTTGATTACCAGCGATGGGATGTAAAGGATGAATTTGGATATTGCATGATGCTTGCAAAGATGTCCTTCAGACTGCCAAACTGTATGAGCAGGTCCCACTATTTGGAACTGTCACCAGTGACTACTCAACATGACATAACTTCACCAGCTGATTTGTGCCAACATGAGCTCTCCAACTTTTGCCCTGCCCGTGCCCAAAAATACATGTCTTTTTGTATGTGAAAACCCCAATTTCCAAATCACAAGAAGAACACATTCCAGACACCTCATCATCCTCCCACATTGTCCCGAAAAAAAACTCCCAAAAAAACATGGAAAATCATGGACATTCCATATAATCTCCATCCATCCATCCCATCCATCCTCAGGTGAGGTGAACCACATCCGTCGCATCGTCCTGGCCTGCGAGCGCGACATGGAAGACTTCACGGCGGCCATGGACGCGGTGAACGTGGACCTCGACGAGATGCGGGCGCGCGTGGACGCCACCCACTCCATCATCACCTCGCGGCAGCGGGTGGAGGCCACCATGACAGCGGAGATTTCCACCATGCGGCTGGATATTGGGGATATCCAAGAGGCCTTGAAGAACCATGACAGTGACCTGGGATGAATGATGAATGCTTCGGGATGGGTGATGATTCATTGGGATCATATATAAGAATGATGATAAAATCAGGAAACATCTGGTTTGGGCTGTGTTTTTTTTGTATGTTTGTTATTTTTTGGGGGTTGGGGTGATGATATGGCAGATTTCCCATTGAGTGCCTTTTTGAATGAGGATCCTGATCCACTTCGTGCTGGTTTCTGTTCAGATGCCAGTGACGCCCAGATGGCCAGAGGGTAACCCTGTTGTTTTGTTGATGAACTGTTGATGAACCATCGAAATCATTAGATTTTGTCAAAACACTAGTTACTAGCTGTTGAATTTCCGATCTTGCTGGGTGAACTGCCCATGTTTGTCGGTTCTAAGCTCGCTTCAGACCGAATTTTGCTGGTTGAATTCCCTAGTTTTGGTTGAATCACTCCATGGATTTGCCATGACATCCCCCTACCCTTGAACCAAGGTTGGATGGAAGACGTGTCCAATACCTTGCAACAGATGCAAGAGAAGGAAGACAACACCACTGAAGATCTGATCAATCTGAAGAACGTGTCTAGATGGCGATCTTTCAGATGGCTTCAGGGCGCGGACATGGCATCGACAAAGGGAGAAGTGGTGATAACTCTTCCATACAAAAAGGATGCATATGGATGCATATAAGATCATAATAGATCATATAAGCCTTCTTGTTGATGGGAAAATCCGAGCGGAGATTTTGAGAACGGATACATTTTTTGATTGAGATTCGGAATACTCGTTTTGGTTGACCTCATGGTCTGAAACATAAAAACCTCATTTTCCCAAGTAAAACGCCGTGTTTGTTTGATCCATTTTGGGGTAAAGTAATCCCAATTCTAGCACAGAAACCATGATTTTGGAGAAGGGATGGCTTTCTTTTCGGATTGGAACTGCCTCCGTTAAAGGAGATCCGTATTTCTTTTGATCAGAAAAGATGTTCTTGAACGGAAAAGTTATGGAAACCACACATCCATTATGGACTTGGGACATCTCCATTTTCGGAAGGCTTCTAGGCATTGCCAGTCCACTCCGTTTCAGCAGCACCTGGCAATGGAAACAACTGAGTGAATTGGTGTCTAGTTGGATCATTCGGAAAGATCTACAGAACTACCATGAACTACCATTCGTCTGAGAATGAAAATGGATATGAATTTGATATGAATGGATATGAATCAGCATTTTCACCCTGTAGATTTTCCATGATGTTCCACCACTTTTCACGAATCGAGAGCTCAGGAGTTCACCACGAAGTTGGACGGCAAAGTGGACAACGTGGCATGGAAGGAGGTGTTTTGGGGCCTGCCATCGCATTTTGAAGTCGTCACCATTTTTGGCAACCAAAAAAACGGACCATCCGGAAGATTGGTAGATGGTAGGGTGGTTTATGAAACTGACATTGGTCAATGGATTGGTTTAAGAGAAAACCTACAGGAAAGCCCCATATTTCATGGGAAAATCATGAAAAATCGATGGTCTCCGGTTAAGATTTTCCCTTAAACCAATCCATTGACACGGGTTTTTTCCCCATCTTCAGTAGCTTTCTGGGCCCAACTTCCCACCTCCCTTGGTGGCGCTAGGCCAATGACGACTTGGATGCGGCCATCAAAACGGTGCGTGACATGATCAGCTCGTTGCGGTTGGATGTGGACGCGCGCCGTCGGAAGGCCGAAAAGTCGTGAACATACTGTGGATGGGCCAGCGAAATCCTGCACCACCAAAAGGATGGTTGAAACATGTTGAAACCCTATAAATCATGGGATGTTTACCATCTATCAACTGGTGATTCCATCTATCAACTAGTGATTCGGATTTCGCTGGCCCATCCAAAGTATGTGAACATGGCAATTGAATGGACATCTTAAACACAAAACTGTGGCACCTCCCGAAGCATCGCTAGTGGTTATCATTGGTCACGTGAATTCATAAGCTACACCCGTATTACGATCACGTTTGACCCAGGCTATGGTCAGTTAAATCCATGATATTCATGATATATTCATGGCTTAAATCATTTGAACTCCTCATGTTCCATGATTTTTCCTGCTTTGTTGGTGTGATATGGTTTCATATCCCCCAATTTGTTGGTGGTTTCATGGCCAAAAAAGGGGGCGATGTTTGCCATGGAGGTCGATGAGATCCTCTCCACCATGCGCCATGATATCACCTCGGTTGAAACGAACTTGGAGGAGTCCAAGGCGAAATTGGCCATGGACACCGATCACGCGCCTGGCCATTGCAGCCATTGCAGATTCGGGTGGGAAAATGATGGGGAAATGATGGGTTTTTGCAATGGTGCCAACATGGAAAAACACGGTGAAATCTCACGGTGAATGGAGAATTTTACATATCAATTTTGGTTCATGGTTACCATATTTTCAGATTGCCATTTTGGATAGTATCTATAACATCCCTACAGTAGTAAGCAGATGTTGCCATTTTTGGCAACATTTGGGACGGTTCGGCATCGCCATCGCCAAGGCGATCAATGCGCTGAATGGTCGCATCGACTTCACCAACAAAGACCTCTCGGCCACCCAGGAAAGCCTGCACACTACGCAGAACTCCCTGAGTGACTGCTTCAATGAGGTTGGCGATGGCCAAACTGTGATGCGGAAGATGTGGATTCTTATGGATTCCTCCTTGGTTTTGAAGAAAAGATAAAAAACATACATGATGCCTGGGTGCCCACAAATTCACTTTGTGAATTGTCAGTTTCCCAGCAGCCATTTTGTGGATAAAAAGGCTCAATTGTCTGCCAAAAGCATTTGATTCTTGGGCCACCCCAGCACTTGCAACGGGTTCTGCGTGACAAACTATTTCGATCAGGTTCCCATTTAAACACTTCTTTACAGGACATTTCCCCAGCTAGCCATGTTTGACACCGGCGGGTACCCCATTCTCAGATACACCCAACTATCACATATCATATTCTTGGTTATCATAACTTACTTTCCATTATATATATATATTATATTATATTATATTATATTTCTATATCATGTCCCAACATGTGTCCATATTGTTTGATGGTTAAACTCCGTAGAACTCCCATGTGAAGCCCCCACGATAGCAACGGGAGCGACTGCTACGAACGAACAAAAACAGGTGGCGGTGGTGCGATCGGACTTGGAACGTACCGTGGCTGACACGGAGGCGCCAAGCATCAACGGCCATCCTGGTGGCACCACTTTTTGGCGTCTGGTGGGGTAGAATCTACAGGTACCCTCCATGGCAATAGAAAAAAAAAACCAAAAATCAATGATTTTCCGCTTGAAACACCAGAAAATTATAGTGGATGTTCAAGTGCCACGTTAGATTAGCAAAGGGTAGATCGGTTTGTAAGCCAACTTATGCCCTTGCTGTGGAAAGTCTGGAAAGTCATCATTCTTTGTTGGTAAATGATCGAACAGTCGCCCACTTACGTGGGCCATGTTGGGCGTGAAAATCACCGTACGACATGTTGTGCCAAACAATAACAGGAGATATGGAAAACAACCTGCTTGCAATACGGAGGAACAAAGATTCTTTGGACACAACCTAGATGGAACAGGCTATTTGGGTTGAAGATTGATTGCCAAATTCAGTGGTTGCCTGATATTCCCTAAGCTAAGATTGGACTCGACAGTGCTCGACCTCAACAGGCTCGGGTGAAGAACGATTCGCGTCAAAAGCAGCAAGAAATCATGGAGAAGATTGGGGACGTTGAAACTTGGAGATTGCTGGAATGATGGGTTGAATTTTGCTATGTAAATGTATATATAACTGTTCCAGGCCTTATGTCAGATTCGTCAATTGTCTCGGTTCAAGTGAGGTCTGATTTCCACATGGAAATCAGGCCGCAAGACATGGCGATTCAGCCAAAAAAAAGGCATCGGAAGCTTTGGACTCTTGGTGCCTTTTTCCCCCATGTATTGTGGCCACTTGGCCAAAAAGGGTATGGCTCAAAATGATTGTCTAAGTCTAAGTCGGATGGTTTCCAATCCAAAAAAAGCGACTTTTTGTTTGGGCTTCAGCTTCGGGAGATCTCCAAAAAAAAGGTAATTTGGAAAAAGTGAACCAAAATTTGATCCACGAGGATCTTCAGCTCCCCACTGGTCTGGAGTCTGTCTTTTTCGCCATGCCATCCCAGGAACAGCAATCCGAATTGCGCGCGGCTGAAGCTTCAAGGCGCTTGGGAGCTTTGGATCTTCGCACCTGGGACATCCTGGGACGTCGGGTGAGGGCGCTGAAGCAGTGGGGTATTATCCCCAAATTTTCATGGTTTATGATGGAGGTTTCCATAGTCATCATAGTCATGGTGGTACCCCAAGGCCCCAAGAGCTGGATATAGCTGGATGGTTTATGATGGTTTATTGAAGTTTATTTCATGGATCATCCTATTTTTTCATGGGTGATTTGGGGGTACCCCTATTTTAGGAAACCTCCATATGTTTACGTTCGCCGGCGGATGGAAATAGGATGATCCTCAAGGTATGGCGTTGAAGCTTGGGCTTGCTATCTAGGGAGCGAGCGATTTGGAGCTTGGGGGATTCATAATGGGGAGACAGTTAGAGCTACAAATTGATGTTCCCAACCACATGATAGTTTGCAGAAAATGATGGACATCCGGGGCTGTTTCTTAAGATATGATGAGACACTAAATGACACTAAAATCATCCAAACTTGGTCGTTCACATTGGAAAAAAACATAAAGTTTTAGAGGCAACGCAATTTCCAAAAAAAAACAGAGATGTTAATTCTTTGACTTCAAGATGGTTTTGAACTTAAAATCCAACTTGAAGAACTTGTTTTTATGGGCTAATTCGTCGACCTCGATTTTTCTTAAGCAGTGGGCCCCAGGTATGAGTGGTGTCCAGGGTGGCCTGGGCGAGCAAAAACGTGACATCCTGAAAATCCGAGAGGAGGCTATGGGCCTGGGACTCCCAGTTGGATGTTTAAGCTGGTACCCATTGTACAACTAGTTTATAACTTATATATAACTTATTTGATAACATCCTGTATATGATCTTAGATGTATACAATATAATATACACAATAATAAATAAATAAATAAATAAATAAATTAATAAATGAATAAATGAATAAATAAGTAAATAAATAATTTACATATATATATATATGTATATCTATCAGATGTATCAAAGATATCACTAGGATATAACTGAAATAATAACTATATAGTTGGATAACATGGTTTTGTTTCCAAGAAAGGGGGTGGGGAAGTTCCAAACCAGCCGTTTCTAGAAATGAAAGTGATGGTAGGTCGGGGGGAGGAAACCCGTGCTATAGAAAACAGCCTATTTATAGATGCTTTGCCTTTGAAAAAATGGTGATTTTCCATAGTCATATCCAAGTACGAGACATTAGCTGATTCGAACAAACCCTTAGCTCTTGCAGATGCTGTTGCTGGACTGGGCCAACTGGTGTCTGCCACTACAGTGCCACTACAGTGATGTTTGGTCTTTTGGACCTGTTTCTGGTTGAATCATATATGAGTCCGTTCTTCCTCAGGAATCTCAAGATATCTCAAGAAACCTCAAGGAACCTCAAGATCCAGATCGACATTTGCAGAAAAAAAATGTGAAAAACTCATAAAAACTCCACGTGTGCTCCCCCAGACATTGCCAATTGCCCGTGGACGTTGGCACCGTCTGACGTGGCTTTTCTGGTGAGCTCGCCACAGCTCACCAGGTGAATGGTCTCACGGTGAAGAGTGCCAGCCATGAAGTGGATATCTCAAAGGTGGGCGATGTCACTTGGCCGTTTCGTAAAATTTCAGGCCTAATAAGAGTCGTTGTATCATGTTGTATCACCCCTTTCTTTGTGAGAGTTTCAGCACCAAACATCATTTTAAATTACACGCACATACATATATATATATATATGTTATACATATTATATATATATATTATATATATATATATTATATATATATATTATATATATATATATACATGTTTACCAGCTACTTGGGTGATGATGGCTAGAGTTTTCTGCCATCTTCAGCTATCTCTGGTCATTGTTGGACCGTTTTTCCGGCCGTTTTTCCGTGGTGCTCTCTGTCTGAGTCCGTCAAGAAGATGGAGAAGCAACGCAACCTGGACGCCCAGAACTTAAAAGCGCAGCTGGATTCCATCCATGACGTGCTCGACACCAAGGTGCCATGGGGATTTTCATAGGATTTCTTGGGACATTTTGGGACCGAAGTGAAAATCTCTGGCATCTCTGATGGGCATCCATGGGCATCCCTAAATCCACGGCATTTCAGTGGATTTGATCATCTTTTTCAAAGATTTCCAACATGAAGCCATGGCCATGTCATGGAAGGGGACGTAAGTCCACCGAGATGATCTGTAGATTCTGTAGATATTTGTAGCATCCTGGAGACTCATTGTCACATGTCCATCTTTTGGGGGTAAAAAGAAATACTCCATTTTCACAGACACCGGCTGGATCAATGGATATGGGTGGCAGCAATGTCACAGTCGGCAATGAAAAATGAATAAAAATGATCAACTCGCTAAATAGCCCAGGATATGATCGACAACTGGTTGTATCAGTTGTATCAGTATCACTTTGGTTGAGTGGCCCCCCAACCAAGCACCTTGATTAATCTGACATCGCTGCCATGATGTTTTTTCCCCAAAACCACCAGTTGAAGTTCTTAGATCTGGGACACTCTGCCGCCGTGACCGTCAGGTCAATGAGAAGCCTTTCGAGGATGTGAAGCACTGCATGTCTTCCCTGACCAAAGGCAGCTGTGGATTCGCTGATTTTTCTGCCAGAAATGGAGCATTTTTGGACTGCCCCAAAGAGTTTGGGACTAGACCTAGGTGACCTAGGCCAAGTGCTTATATCATTCAACATGCTTGGAATAAGCTTAGGCTGAAGTAAACAAACATCCAACTCTTCACCCCGTCAGACGACATCATTGACTCATCCGAAGTTCAACCCAGATCAACCGAACATCATTTTCCATCTAGCAACCCATATGGATATATAATGATATATTATCTATGCTATATTATGGAAATATTATGGAAATAATGATGTATTATGTAATATACTATATTATAGATATTATGTTATATTATCTATGAGCATCATATGTTTGCAACCCATGGTTATTCAATAAACTATTGTATATAAGAATGCCTTACACCAACGCCCAAAACTGCAGTTTTCCACGTATAATCTTGCTTGGTCAAAGCCTTTTGAGGATCAGTGGGATCATCCCACTGACAAACTGGTGAATTAGTAACCATAGTTATACCGTTATCTAATCGAAATAGATGGTTTCCCGAACTTCAAAATGGTGATGTTCCGTGGCGAACTGGTAAATAACCAGGTAGTAAATCCATTATAAATCCATTTATACATGGGATAAGGCAACAAAAAACCCATCGAAAAAAGCCATGGCTCACACCAGGCTTAACTAACCCCGGGGGAAGCCCCGGCAGTTTCGCCAGGGCCCACGGCCCCGCCAGGTGTGGTGAAGTTCGCGCAGGTCGTTGGGGTCTTCCCAGGTCCCCGCTTCGATGATGCCGAGGGCGAAGCTGGAGAAGCTGATGTGGAGCTCTTGGGATGGGAGGAGCCGCCAGGGATGGGATGAACCCCCGGTTCCGAAGATGAAAATTGCTGGGGAAAAACAGAAGGATTTGATGATGGATTTTATGATGGATTTTTGTCATGATATTCCGTGTGCACCCAAAATATGATAGGTTTATAGATTCATCAGATGTTGATGTTTCGAATGGTTTTGAGTGAAATCCCAATATAGTGGCCAACAATATGATGAAAACTATAGCCTTGTGGAGAGGGACATTTCTTGATCAAACCCTGGGGGAGCTGCGGAACTTAAATAGTGATGATTTGCTCTACTAACCCCCAAGTTTCAGGCCGCAGTCCAGGTCTTTAGCACAAATTTGGGCTTGTGGACATATCATACTCATGAATTTTAAGCGCTAAGTTCATAAAAGTTCGGCAATCCAATGGATCACTTCACCATTAGCTACCCTTAGATTCACCATCATGAAATTTGTGAGGAAAGAATTTATCCCATTATCGTGCATGGTAAATTTCCCCTGATTCCTGTAGATTTCCCCCCAAAAAAACATGCCCAAAAAGTGTGAAACCAAGATGGTACTTCAATGATCCATATCGCCCCACTTTGATCCATATCCAGGTTCCCAAGCCTATGAATGGAGATTTTCTCTTTTCATTGACAGAAAACGTCCCACTTCCATAGTAGATCCCCAGGAGAGCGCCGAAACCTTCTCCTTCCGCGTGGACAAAGCTTGGCGCCAGCGCTGCTCGCAACGCTTCCGCAATATACTGGACATGATCGCCAAAAAGGCACCACAGTGGCAACTCACCAACAAAAATGGCACAAGGTAACTACACCGCACTGTTTTATTAAAGGGTGATACTGCACAGGTACCCTCCAAGCACTCCCCCCCAAAATGTTAGCCTCTAAAATTGTAGGATGTTGTTATAGGATGTTACAGGGTAAAGCCACATTTTGGAGGGTACAAACGGAGGGTCTAGGCCTAGGTAGTTGAAATATGTTGATTTTTTAGGCCTCCTTTGTGTCCTCAGAGTTCCCATTTTTGGGTCGATTTCCAGTTGCCACGTTTGCCAGAGGGTAGCTGGAATTCATGTTCAATATCAGATCCATGTTTTTTTCAGTCCCTTATCATGGGATGATGACCCTTTGGATTGATGTGATTTGTAAACTGACTTCTTTCGGTTGATGTTACTAGATGTTTTTGAAAGGCATAGTTAGACATAGTTATGCCATTCAGTATTCAGTAAGGCTGAGGCAGACCTGAAGGCGAAGGAGGGAGAGAGAGAGTTAGACATAATAGTTGGAAGATGTTACTGTAGAAGTTATATGTTTGAGTTTAAGTCGTTTTCTGGTAGTTTAGAATCTGGAATCATGTATATATATATATGTAACATATTAATACATATTATATTATGTTAAATTTTGTGGCAGTAGTATCCCCGGAAAATATCCATCAAGAAGGTTGGCCCAAGATGAATCAAGGAGGAGAGGATGTTTTTCACATCGACAACTCCTTTCGGTTGGTCGATGTTAAATGGTCGACAACATACCCTTTGGTAAACTAACATAGCTATTGAAAATGGCCATTTATAGTGAATTTTCCCATTAAAAATGGTGATATTCCATAGTTATGTTAGTTTACCAGAGGGTACAATTACTGTAAGTCTCTTTATGGTAGTTGGGAGTATTGGAACATGGGTCGTGGGTATATTTTGATAAGAAATCTCGTACATTGGTAGTAGCCGGGTATTCGGAAATTTCGGAACAGGTACCAGATTGGGTATTCATTTTGTCAATAGTAACCAGGCAAAGTGGGTCTTAAATCATGAATGGGGTTGTACCTAGCATGATTAATCCGCCATAAGTTTGGGATGAATTTGGAGCTTGGCTGGCCAAAAATCGTATGTAGCCACGATTGATTGGGGATAGGACGAGTGACGCTTTCTGTTGCGGACACTCTTGGAGATGGCCATGGCCATCATGCCTTGCTTGGGTGACTTTGCAAGTCACCAATTGGATGCCATCTTGCCATATCTTGTCTGTTTGTGACACCCAATGGCAGTATGGCATGACCCACATGGAGCTCATATATTGGGCTGAACCGCCAACCATCAGTGTGGTGCAGGCTGACCACAGCGTGCTGCGCTTGCTTCAGATCTCTCAACAGCATATCGAATCGCAACTGGTCCGTGGGCGGGGGAGTGCCTGGGTGTGCCTGAGAAACGATGATGGGAATCTGACAATGGAACAGAGCCATTGACATCCAGATGACTGTTCTATCGAAAGTGAAGCTTTTCCGTTGCCATGTTTGCTTACCTGAGAATACTTCTAATGGTTCAGAGCTCGTAACTTCTGCCATGAGCTACAACTGTCGCTACTAAACTGTCGCTGGTTCCCAGTGCTGCGTGCTGCCCAAGATGTTCTCCGTGAGTTCGATCAAGAACAGATCCACAAAGCAATGCTTGGTTTAAGCTGGGGGTTCCCAGCTCATGGATTAGGACCAGGATAACTTCCAGTATATTTGCTGGGAAGCTGAGCAGAGAATGATTCTTTTGAACCTTTATATATATCCAAAAGATTCCAAAAGAATCATCATAATTTTGAACTTGGAACTTTCTTACGATACCTCCATAAATATGATAGTGGTCCAACCACGCTACACCAACTGCTTAACTGTGTTGACACTGCTCAGAGTCGTCCATCCTTCGCAGGAGCGTGTGAAGCACGAAAGGGAGCTGTGGAAGGAAGTGGTGGAACGTCGCCAGCAACAACCTTTGCAACTGGCGCTCTCCATGAAAGAGTCCCTTGGCATAGATGTCCCAAATTCCCATTGGGTGGTTGATGAAAATAGAGGGTTTTGAAGAACCCCCGGAAAAACAACAGGTTTCTATGATGATAGATGGTATATGATGGTATACCAGCTCCCGTTCCCTCTATTTTTACCAAAAGGACTTGGTTTCTCCCTTGGTTTCTCCACTCGCCATGGGTTGATGATGGGTTGCCATCCACTGGCCATCGCCGTTGATGGCCCCCCAGAAGGCCGTGCCGGTTTTTTCCGAGGCCCGCGACGGAGGGAAGTCAGACCGCACGGGGACCCTTCCGTGGATGATGCAGCAGGAGCCGTGGCGGCGGAGGTTTCCCGAGCCAAAGAGGGTTCCATCAGTTTCTTATGGACCTATGGATTTTCGATGACTTTTCCCACAGGATTTGGAATATCAAGGAATCGATGTAATTTTATATATATAGTAATTATGATTATAACAATAGCAACACAATAATAATAACAATAATAACAATAGCAATAATAATAATGAAATATAGTATAATATAATATTATATTGTATTATATAGTCATAATTTATATGATCATTTACTATATGATAAACTATATTATATGTTACTATACTATTACTATAGTATGTGTCTCACCTTTATTCATACTACATCTTATGTTAATATTAATATACATCTTATGAATCCGTAAGGCATGTTTTTTTTTTTCCAGTGGCAAGTCTTTGAGGGTGGCGCCCGGCTTTCTTTCGGTGTCGAGACTGCGTAAGTCCGCAACTTTGATCATGAGATATCATGAGATAAGATTATGAGAGTAACTGGTTGGTAAATGATATAGTAAATGATGTAGAGTATTACATGGATTAAATAACATTTACTAAATGGTAACATATAATCATTACCAACATCATTATTAAATCTATGATATAGAGAAATGTTATGATAATCATTATCCATGATATAGAGTAAATGTTATTAAATGAACATTATTATGAGAGTAACTGGCTGGTAGTTTGGAACATGAATTTGATTTTTCCATTCAGTTGGGAATTTCATCATTCCAACTGACGAACTCCATCATTTTTCAGAGGGGTGGCTCAACCACCAACCAGGTAATGTTGGTAAAGCAATAGGATCCACCAGCCCCAAATTCACCATCATTTAGGCTAAATGATATAGCCATCAAGATTTTTTGGGTGAAAATAATCATATTCCTTTACTAGAAGATTATTAGGTGATTGGCCATGATGATTCTATCCATCCACCCATTCCCATTCCTGGGCCAGGAATGATGAGAATGGAGAAGCGTAATGCGACCAACATGCAGCACGATCCATTGCTTTGCAACCAGTGCAGTGACAGCAATTACGGTAGTGCAGCAATCTAGAACCAATCCCAGGATTTCAGTAAAGCCATTGAAACTAGACATCCACAAGATCCCACAACATCAGTAATGCTGATGTGATTCGGACGTGCGGACGTGCACTAAAATTTATGCGATGGTGCTCCCCTTGAATTACTTGATATGGTGCCTTTTCGGTTCCAATCTGCCCCAATTTTTCCCCCAACATCTTCCTTACTGGAGATGGGGATGAGCTTTGGCATGGTTCGAATCCAGAGGAATTTGGCGCGAGATCGACCCCTGCTTGGAGTTTTTGAAGCATGAATATGATAGCGGGGCCTCACTTGGTGGGAGACATTGTCCCAAAAGTTCGACAGTTCGACGCCATCTTTTATATAAAATCTTGAACTGTTGGAGTCATTGAATTTGGCAATCCTGAAGGCATCCTGAATGCATCCGGATATATCCTGATCATTGAAGCCAATAAGATTGACGTTAGAGATGTCTGACTTTAAGCAGCACTTTCAAAAAAGGAGGATCCTGAAATCACAAAAAATGATCATCCCACAAAAAAAAACATAAATCAAGCAGCTGATCATCGACACCGTCCTGACCCATGCCGAAGCTACCCTTAAATCTTGGCTTCTCTCGTCACGTTTGACGGGGCTTTAGAGTTGATCTCGCAGTTTTGGGCCGAACTTCTGCGGATGCCCGTTGTGACATGGTTCAGCGATTGTAGGAAAAGCGAATTGGCTAGCAATGAACTGTTTGTTAGTATATATATATATAGTATATATATACAATATATATATACACTATAGAATCTATGCATTTATCCATCTATATTCCATCTATCTATCCATACAGTGATCATTGATGATCATTGTCTATCTCTCTCTCTCTCTCTCTGTCACTATGTGTCTACCTACCAATTTTCAGTATTTTTCCTGTCAGCCAGCCTTCTTTCTATCGGTCCGTTGATCCGCGTTTCTTTTCTTTGAATGATGCTCGAATCAGCACTTTGCAAGACAGATAGCTCAGTTTCTTCCTCCCTCTCTCTCTCTCTCTGGAATGTGTATCTAGCACGACAGAGATTATCGTACTATATCGTACTATCAAATCTATATTCTTACACATGTTTTTATCTCGATCATGCTTTCATTTTGCTGTTTTTTTTCCCTTGTTTTGAAAGCGACAACATCGTATGAAAATCTTGTCTTGATAAGATCTGGCAGAAATTCGTTGGAAGTTTGGCGACAAAAAGGAAACTTCCGACCCAATTGAGGATCTGCAGAAGTTACACCTCTTTTTCCCAAGAATTGATTTGATTTGAACTGCAAAAATTGGGATTTAAAGCGTCAACATCTTCAGGATTTGACCAACATTGATGAGAAATGGATAGAACTGGGAAGTTCAGCAAGCAACATGTGGTTTTCACCGGAAATTCATCTGTGAATCTGTGATGGGACCTCATTTTGGGTCAGGTGTTTTCGACATGTTTTCCAGGGCGCCCCTAATTGGGGGCCCGGTCTTTTCTTCTCCAAGGGAAGGCTAGAAGAGTTTCGAGCTGACAGGCAGAAAACTCATGGTCATTCATGACTTGGAGTTTGGTACCCATTATAGGAAACACCCATATATTGTTCCTGTTTGGTGGTTTGGAACATGAATTTGATTTTTCCATTCAGTTGGGAATTTCATCATCCCAACTGACGAACTCCATCATTTTTCAGAGGGGTGGCGAAAAACCACCAACCAGGTTCTTTACTTCATTTACTTCAAAGGATGCAGCGGATTCTGATGGTGTCCTAGCCTTGTCACAGGACCCAGATGGACCCAGATTCCCAGGGCAGTTGTTTCATCGCCTCGTGAGCTCGGACCAAAAATCACCACGCGGTCGCAACACCTTCTCGGTTTGCCAAACAGCTATAGGTCGTCCAGGTCGGCCAAGTTACAGAGAGATTCACAGCTGCCAAAAGGGGGATCCTGATGCGGGTTTTTCCACGGCACAAAGAGAAGGGATCGTATGGATACCTTGCGTTGCGAGCGTTGGTTAGCAAGCACTGCTTCGCAGAGAAAAACAGCGCGAAGGTTGGGTAGAGTTCATCCCAGCTGCCTCTTCCTAAGAAGGCACAGCTGGATCCATAGGGAATGACATAATGTGAGTCTGTCGACAGAAACAGGTCCAAAAAATACCCTAAATTTACATAAACTCACTGGTTCAAGATGTTTTTTTTGCAGCAGCTCAGGACGCACCTGAGAACTTGTCGTTTCCTCAGTCAGTCATTGGAATTTCGGGAGGCCACCCGAGTGGACGTTATTTTCTGAAAATTTACTGGGACGTATCCAGCTGGATGATAGCATGATGATCTTAAGTGCATAGATTTATGATGTACCCTCTGATAAATTAACAGTTGGACCCTGAAAATAGCCTAGTTTTAATATGGAAACTAATCTTCCAACCCCGATGACTGCCAGGGTCTATGTTAATTTACCAGAGGGTATATTGATATCATATGACACACAACTGGGTTATCCAGCAATATCGTCAATTAGTATCCAGAGCAATGCCTCAATGCCTCTCAGAGGCATCGTTTTTCCAATGGCATCCCTTAAGGAGGCTGGCACTTTCCTTGGATTTTTCCCCCCACATCAGGGCCTCTGGATTTTATAAAAGTTATATGCTTCCTTCCTCCTTCCTCCTTCCTTCCTCCTTCCTTCCCCTTCCCTTCCCCTTCCCTTCCCCTCCCCCTTCCCCTTCCCTTGCCTTCCCCAGCGAACCAGATCTAAGTGGGCACTGCCGGACATCAACTGCGAACTCCAGATCGCAGTGGGCACTACCTCACTGCGGCGACCCTTGGCCTGGCAATTTCCAGACAGGACCTTCCGTCAACCGCAGCTGCGTCCAACCGGTGCTGCCTTGCCTTCTTCCCTTCATGACTTCCCGCATGCTGATCGCAGTCTCAGGGATCCCTGGCACCCTTGCTGCCATGTCTTCCAGCCCTGGTTTCGTTGCCCTTTAAACTTTTAGAATAGTTGGGGCGATAAGCTTATGAGCCTCAGGCCGCGGGTTCAATATGGTTCAATATCCGCAAGGAACAGTTTCGTGCAATGAGGTTGCAGTGCTGGTGTGGCGCTGTGCATTGATCTGCTCAGGATAGATGCGAGATAGAATGCCAGGAGCCTATGCCAGAAAGAGCGTCAGAATATAGGCATTTACATATACTAAACTCAACTAATAAATTAAATAATAGATCAGCAAAGATTAGTCAACAAATAGATACATAAATAAATCAACAAATAAGATAGATAAATCAGTCAACCAATCAGTAAATATATTTAAATATATTTGAATATACCTGGCTCTTCAATCGTTACATTATTTTTTCCTACCCTGTACTTTGGGGGCAATCGAGCATATATCCAGGATCGTTATCAAAATCAGAAATAGCGAGCATTTTCAATACCAGAGAGCGATTTGGAGCAAAAAGCATGGCCGCAATTTCGGGCGCAAATAAGCGCAATCGAGCGCAAATAAGCGCAATCGGGCGCAAATTCAGAAAAGAAATCTGGCCAATAGAGCTTACGTCAATTTCTAATCGTTATGGACATTTTGGAAACGAGCAAATCTCAAAACGAGCAACAAAATGTAGCAATTGAAGATCCAGGTATAATACACAAATAGATATATTTCAATATTTAAATAAATAAATAAACGAACAAATATATATATATATATAATTATGAGAAAAAACATATATCCCATGTTAATTCGAGTTGGCATGTCAGAAATTATATCAGAATGTGTCAGGGCGGAGGTTACTCGAAGAAAGTTATGTTAAGAAAAGAATCACGGATCCCAAAGCTGACTTAGTGGGCCATCTAAATTTCGAGATACCCCGACAAGCTGGCTAGCGATTTCAAGTATGGATTGTTTTTCAACACTAGATGACAATTTAAATTCATGAGCGTATGCATATTTTTCATTTTTCAGGGAGGCTGAAATCACCCCAGCAAAAAAAAGTTGGAGAATGTTCCCAGCGAACTAAAGTTCCCAAATAATGGGGTGTATGTCCCTATCATTTGCCAAATTTTCCAAAGAGTTTTTTTTTTAAAACCATTAACACTTCCATTTATAGAGTTTTTCAATATTTTTCATACCTAGGTCACGGGGATTTTCCCCTTCATTTGCTATGTTTGACATCCGGTGGCAACCCCCACTGTATCCGCTGATATGTGCGCTGAGGTCCAAGTGGTTGAGGTTGGAGTGTGGAGGTTTGCCAGACGAGACGAAGGGTTTTGCCATGTGGAAATGTTCCATTGTTTTCTTTGGGGGTTCGAAGCAATATCATGTCCTGGTTGCATTGAATATGTTTAATTTAGAATGCGAGTGTATTTATGCATTCTGCGGTATATGAATAAAATCAATCATGACGCGCCTTTCATTTTTAGGGGGTCACTTGGAGGATAGGCATTGAATAGTCAGCAAATCATGGATAAAAATCACAGAGGCTGTTTTGCTGTGGCAAGCGGCTGCGCCTCAGAGACAGTGAAGGAAACATAAGAAAACAGCGCAATAGACAAAATATCAGAACGCTCACGATGCAGAAACAAAATGCATGTTATATAGTATAGCACGTACACAAATGATAATAGTAGTGCTAGTAGTAATTGTAGTAATCATAATTGCAAAAATAACAATGATATGTATATATGTTGAATGAAGTAACTAGAATGGAGTGGATATATATATATATATACATGAGGTTTCCTAAAATGGGGCACAACCAAGTCACCATGGGTTTCAATCCTAAAATGGTCTCATGATTTGGATGATTTGGGGATGCCAATGATTTTGAACACATCCATATGTATTTCAATATCCATACTAATCTATATGTATGTGGGCTCATGTGGGCATTAGTCCTTTTTTTTTCCGAACATTGGATGCCAAAAAACATTTCGATGGGGATATTGGGCACAGAAGCGGCTTCAGGATGCGCAGAAACCTGGCGTATTGTGAGTCGACCAGTGTTGCTGGATTCTGCCTGGGGCCTGAGTGCTTCCAAGTGGCTCCGACTGAGGCATCTTAGGAAACAACGGTGTTCTTTGGGACCCAGAGACACCCACGGATATCTAATTATATCTATCTATATCTATATCTACATCTATAATATATATATATATATCCCTGAGAATCGTGGGGTAGTATATAATATATCTCTGTGTGTGCGTCTATTTATTAAACGTATCTGCATTATCTGCATGCATATTCTGAAGCACACCATGGGTGTTTCGAAACCACCTGTCGCCGTCACCAGGAAGATGCCTTGGACAAGATCGTCTTTGATGATGGACCCGGCAGGGGCATCCAGGGCACCCAGGGCACAAAAAGGGCAGCCCTAGGGCAGCCCTATGACCAGTGGTTTCGAAGTGTCATTTTCCATCCCTACAACTGAGATGATGGGTTATCAATATCCATTTAAATCATTAGATTCAATCAAATGACGATATTCTGTCATTCAAATTATTCAAATGAAATGATTCTCTGTCAGTCAAATTCATGTGATAAAGCCAAAAATCAACCATCCCCAAAATCACCGGAAATGGATGGTATAAACCGTCCCCAAATGGAAGGTTTATAGCAGCCAGGGAGATCCCATGTGCACCCCTGAGGCCTACTGCAGTTGCACGTCTTCGCACGGGCTGGGCACTTCGTTTCGTCGCTGTTTGGGCCGATTTCCTTGGGGACTGGGGAATCTACTATAGGGGTATGTTTGGATTTTTTTTGGCATTTTTGGATGGTTCCCTTAAGCAAATCCAAGATGACATGGCATGGTGATGAAGATGTTTTCACACTGCGCATGATGCATGGCATGATCCATCATGATCGATTACATTTAATTATCTGCATTTTCTCTGAAGTCGCCAGCATCCTTACAAAATTACCTGTCAGTCATGATCGACAATGGATTCTTAGTGTTATCCCTGCAGGGAACATGCAGTTCCACAAATCAGTGGTTATATAACCGTGGCTGTACGAACTTATGGTAGCTATTACTATTATGGTTATGCCTATTTATAACGCCCTTTAGACCCCCAAGTGCTACTATAGCACCCACAAAAATGATAGACAAGTGAAACTTTGAAGAAATATATGTGTTTCATTGTTTTTCTATCGTTTTGAGGGCTACAGTAACACTCTTTTTTCACACATATATATACATATACATGTCATACAAATATACATCGGCTCCCGTTGAGGTCTCCTTTCGTGCAGGTGCTGCTGCCAAGGTGGCTGGTGGTATTGGATGGACCCTGGGACCCTGGATGAATGTAAACATGATGTCTTGAAGGATGTAGCTGACAGCTATCATGACAGAAACATGTTTTTTTGATTTTTTGGATCGAAACACTCTTGGCAACCTGCCGGCTGGGTGGTGATGGTTGTGGCATTTGCTGTGGAAGCCAACTGCTGTAGCTCATGCGCAACATAAGTTGCTGCTTCCAATTGCCACCAATGCCTGACGCAGCTTTTAATTAAATTTTAATTCATGAATGTTCAACTCATGTTTCAAGTGTGGGGAAAAGCTTAGCTTGGGCGCTTCAAACCTGATTTGGAAGGATGAACTCGCTTGATGCCGATGTCTTAAGGGAGGGGCGATCCGTGCCGCAGGGTTTGCATTTCGATTATGAGGGTGACGGGGCCTCAGTGTTCGCAGGATCAAAATTGGGGTCAAACTTCTGTAGCAGAGAATTGGAGCTAGCTCAAGAATGAATCTTTATTTTTGCTTCAGTATTAGAAAATACCCCTCCAGAAACCATTGTTTGGTATCCAATGATTCAATTTTGCGGCCCATTTTTTGGTGGATTCTTCTGAATTCTTCTGTTTCCAAAGATTCATGGACCGACGGATTGAAGAAATCTCTGTGATCAAACAAAAACTCTGTGTCATAGTGATGATTTATGGATAGTTACTTGACACCGTGGGTTCCAGTGCGAGACCATCGCTTTCCCTGCTCAGCTTCGACGCTCCTTGAACGCCCATATGGACCCTACAACGAATAAACCAACGAGGCCAAAAACGAACCACTTGATCAAGAATTAGGAATGAAACTGACGTTAGTCAAGCAATACTAAACCCCAATCTTACCATCAATGGATGGTATAAACCATAAACATATTGGTGGTTTATGTTTTAATTACTAAGATTACGGCGAAACCATGGCATGTTTCATCACTTCTGAAAGTGTTTGGCCAGTCTGCAGCCGGGCTCTCAGCTGGGCCGCAGTGTTTTCCCTCGACCACTTTTGAGGCGGCCGTGCTCAGTTCCGGCGCTGGGACCGTGATGTGTCCCTGTGGAGATCTCTTCAAGTAGGAACTTTATCCATGGGATTTTCAATGGGTTTCTGTCCGTCTTCCATGGTTTTTTTATACGTTTAAATCTGTTTAGTGGTTGCTGGAACTGCCATCGTGGTCCTGAATGGTGCTCAAACAGCCGGGGGATTTTCCAGCAAGCCATCTTTCTGATTACCAGAGCATATGGAGGATTCCTAAGTCATGGGTACCCCAAATCATCTAGACCTTCTTTTTGACCATGACATAGTAACCTAGTATTGAAAGCCGTGGTAACTTCGGGATCCTGCCACTTCAAGTATATAACAAGTTTTTTTTCCCAGAGACCGGCTGCATTCAGATTCACTGGATTTGATAAGCATGCTGTTGGGAAGGTCAGAGATTGTAGCAGCCCACGTGGTCTCAAAAGGTCGGGAATCCTTGCAGCCTGAAACCAGGATCACAAGCTTTTTATCCAGGTTGGGGATGGCCACTTGGTCCTCATGAAACCAGCACATGTAAGCCATGCAAAGCTGGGAAGGTTTAACGTGATTCTCGCATGTCAAAGCCGTGATTCTCGCATGTCAGAGCCATGTTGACATTTCGCCGATGTGTTTCTATTGGTTTGGCCTTTCTCTGCAGCGTCTTTGCCGCTTTGCCCAGTGCAGAAGTGGAAGCTTTGCGCGAGATCTTTCAAGTGGCAAGCCTGCCCTGGGAGCAGGGGCAGGACCCATGCGGCCTTCCTCAAGTGCAATGCGATAAGGGCAACCAGACCACAGAATCGTTGATCCTTAATTCACTGAAACTGACTTGGCTGTCTGATTCGATTGGACGGTTGCAGTCCCTTGAAAGCTTGCATTTGCAAGACAATCAGCTAAGGTCGCTGCCAGAGTCCATTGCGCAATTGAAATCCCTAGCAGTGCTGTTTTTGAACGGCAACCAGTTGACTGCTTTGCCGGTGTCCGTTAGTCAGTTGCCATCCTTAAGGGAGCTTTGGTTGGATAACAATTACCTGACCATGCTCCCAGACTCCGTTGGACAGATGAAGTCACTGACATCCCTGTACCTGAAATCAAATCAAGTGACTTCCCTACCCGAATCTATGGGACAGCTGCAGCTGTCGATTTTGGATTTGGACGGCAATCAGTTGACCGTGCTACCAGAGCCCTTGACGAATTTGCCGCTGAAGTACCTCCTCTTAGCGAGCAATCAGCTGATGTCACTGCCGGAATCCATTGCAGCGCTGCAATCGCTTCAGGTGTTAAGGTTACCCTCCAACAAGTTAACGTCCTTGCCGGAGACCATTTCGCAGTTGCAAAACCTTATAAACCTGGATCTTCACAACAACCGGCTTGCTTCACTTCCAGACTCTATAGGTAACTTGAAAGCTCTGCGAGTCCTGAGTTTAGATTCCAATCGATTGAACTCATTGCCCGAGTCCATTGCCAATTTGAGTCGTCTAGGAAGTTTGTTCCTAGATTCGAATCGTTTGACATCAATACCGCATCTAATGTCGCCGTACTTGCTGGAATTGAGAGTTGCCAAGAATCGGCTCAGCATTCCACCGGAGTTGGGTCAAATGATGCGGTTGCACGTGCTTTCCCTGCACAACAACTTCTTGGAAAGACTTCCTCCCCAAAGTTTGACCAGCTTGAAGCACTTGAAAGTTGCGTTGCTTCATTCTAATCGGATCCGTGAACCCACTGAGATTTGTCAACTTGGACGTCTTCGATTGGAAACACTCTACTTGCACAGCAACGCCCTGAGAGGAAAAATACCCCCATGCTTGAGTCAATTCAAGTCCTTGGAAGTTTTAACCTTGCACCGCAATGCCTTAACTGGAGAAGTGCCCAAAAGTCTTCTTGGGCTTCCGAATTTAGGTGTTCTCACCCTGCATGGGAACAGACTCTATGGCAATCTTCCGCTAGAGCTGGCAACTGCGCCAAAGTTGTTTTTTTTCTCAGCGCACTCGAACCGTTTTGAAGGTCCCATCCCACCATTACACCTTCGCAAAGACTGTGTCAATGACGAATCTTTCCTGTCTGACTTCGACTCTTGTGATGACTTTACTGTGTCAGGCTTGTGGGCATTGGAATGTCGCAGTGCGGAAATTGCACTGCGATGTCCCAAGGCGTGCGGAATGTGTGACAATGCCAGTGCCCGGGGTCCTGTTTTGCTGCTGCACGACAATCGGCTGTCATGCACCTTGCCGGAAGAAGTGACAGGCTGGCCCAAAGACGTGCGTTCAATCTCCCTGGTTGGAAACATGCTGGGGAATGGAAGCCATTCATTGCCAGATTGGATACACACTGATGAGCATCAACCTTTTCTGTATATATCGGACAATACGTCCATTGAAATGTTGAAACGGGCATTCTTCCTGGCCTCAATATGCACATTGTGTTGGTTGCTTTTAGTCCCACACAGTGGTTATGGCCACATTTGGTTGTCAAAAGCAGGCACCGAACTAACTCGTAAAGCCCACAGGTTTCTTCTTCAAATGGGTGGCATTTTGTCAGCTGTGGCAATGTTTTTGCTTGTCCTCTACCGCGCAGATGCAACTTATTACTTGTGCGGCAGCAGCTTCTCATCAATTACAGTGAGCAATTTTTCGAAGCCCTACCGTGGCCATGCGTTGATCGAATGGGCGTTGGCAATTCTGTGGGCTGTCTGGATTGCAGTCGGAGCATTTTTTCTGAGACATGCTCCCACACCTAGGGTGGCCATCGTAGGAGAAGCAATGTCCTGGTTGGAATGCTTCCTGAAATTTGTTTACAGTTGCTGTTGGCTGTGCGTCGTGGCTGTGTTATCATTCCCCTCTGTGGCCTATGCTGTAGTAAGTGCCATCCCGCACAACAATACCATGCAGCTGTCTGCTTGGTGGCTACAGTTCTTCCACTATCAAGCTGCTTTGGTCATGGTCTTGGTGGACATGTTCATCACTCCCAAAGCAGTTGCATTTTTTGCAGATGCCACCGGCATGCGAAGATCCATGTTATTCATGGCGGCGCGTTTGGGGACCATGTGGTTGGCCGCAGTGCTGAGCACCATCTATTTGACCACGCATTGTATGAACGGCTGGACCCAGTTGTGGAAGGTTTCTGGGTGTGTTTTTGTTTGTTAGCTTTGTAGGCCAGGCTAAATAACTTGCCTTTGAGTCGCAGAGTGTGTCGATGTGGTATTTATTTCTTGATATAGGTCCATAGGTTTTAGGAGTGTCGCTGTAATTTTCAGAGTATGGCGGTAACCGGCCGACCGGACCGGGCAACCGGCTGACCGGATCCCGGTTGACCCCTCCCGGTTGCCCGGTTGCCCGGTTGACCGGCTGACCGGGGCGGTTGCCCGGTTGACCGGCTGACCGGGGCGGTTGCCCGGTTGACCGGCGGAATGCCCGGTTGACCGGCTGACCGGCCGATCGGCCGACTAGGGGAAGAAATGCCCGGTTGCCCGGTTGACCGGCTGACCGGGGCGGTTGCCCGGTTGACCGGCGGAATGCCCGGTTGACCGGCTGACCGGCCGACCGGCCGACCAAGGGACACAAAAAATCGAAGACAAGAACACGAGACAAACAAAAGCAACAGCAACACCAGACACAGAATAGAACCAAAGGCAAGATCAAAGCACTACAAGTAGCAGCTAACCTGCCAAAAACTGAAAACGTAAGTATTGAAAGTGGCAAGGACACAAAAGCAGTTGAAGAGAAGAGGAGAGCAAAAAAGACCACGGAAGAAAAAAGAGCCTGAAGAAAAACACTGGAAAATAGAAAGCAAAACAGCAAAGAAAAAATTGACAGAAGAAAACTTTTTGGGAAAGTCCCGCTAAAAAATGTAGACCGGAACCATTAAAATGCGAAAAGGAACCATGGGAAATGCAAAGTCTAAGTAGAAAATTTGTTCCATGCAAGCACTAAACATAGACCTCAACCAACAAGTGTAAACTTGCATCACCCAAATTGTAACGTCGTAGCGGTAAAGTTAGAACGGTCACGAGTAAAAATGTAAAGGGCAACCATGAAAATGGCAAAATGTAAGCATGAGAATCTTTGAAAATATATCGTGCCAAAAACATTCGAACCGTGAAAACATGGACCAGGCGAGAATCGATACTCCACCTGACACATACCTGCGTCATTATCTTCTGTGAACCTGACAAGTAACATCTCTTCTAACTCTTCGCGGTTTCGAAGCGTTGCGGAGGCAAATAAAAAACATATATATATATATGATTAGTGTAGACGATGCACAGGAGGACAAGAAATAGATGAAGTCCATGAAGCTGATCCTCGTTTCACGTGTAAAGACGACCCCCGCTTCGCGTGTACAGACGAACCCGTTTTCGCGTGTACAGACGACCCCCCGACCTTAAGCTGCAAGGCAAGCGGCTCCGTAGCAGCAGCCCGTTGCAGCCGGATGACGACTCGTTGCACGGCACATGGAGAGAGGTGCTGATGGGCAGCGCTGGTTGTGTGAGGCTGCGATTGGCAAAATGCCATGTGTGTGTGTGTGTTTTAGCTAAGGTAGAAGCATGTGCTTTGGACTGTCCTATGTTCAAATAGGGCATGGGAAGTGCATGTCTGCATTGTGGTGAACTCAATAGATATCTAAGGGAACTGGAGTCTATGGAAACTGGGCGCTGCAAACCGAAAGCTGCAAACCAAGGCAGCGTAACAAGATTAAATACGATTTGATACGCTACAACCTAAGGCAAGTTCAGAGACCAAATGTCGTTAGTGTGCATATGCCGTGGAGGTTCGGTACAAGACACAAACTGCATGTTAGTTTCGTGGATGATGGAAAACATGTTGAAGAAACAGAGACGACAGTACAGATACACATTGCACGGTGTCATGGCTGAGATGGAGGACTTTGGCAATGGAAATCGAACAGGAGACATAGAGGTTGGCAAGTAGGACACATTTCGCACGAAAGTCGCTGCCGAAAATTTCATTTTGCTGCGGTTCGAACTCTGTCGGCTTTTTTTGTAAAGCGGGTGAAACAGCAGGAGGTCGGCATGGATTTAGAGCTGCTGCGAAGCTGGTCGTCGAAATGGCAGCGTTTCCACTGCATCCTGGAAGTTGCGGCGCGCCATGAATTTTCGCTTCTTGGCCGCTGCCAGTTCTGCCTTTTTGATCCCCATGAGTTCGAGTTGTACATTGCGAGCGTGCAGCAATGACGCAAGGAAGAGAAGGCCACGCACTGGGGTCATGCGCCGCGCCGCCACCGCAATTTTGCGAACAAACGCAAAAGATTGTTCAGCTGCGCTGTCATTAATGTTGGGGAAGCTCGAGGCATGCGTCTGAGGCCACGTTTTGGGAAACGGGCGAGTGCCATCAGGCTTGCAGCCGCTGTGCCCTTTGCGAAAATGGAACTTGTCGATGACAAGGCGAAGCCGGCTGAGGGTACGAGCAACTTTGCTCATGCGGCGTCGTTTCTTGGAAGCCATGAAGCGCTGCAACGTGCACGCGCAATCGTTAAAGACCAGCGGCATGGTTTGCTGAAGTGTTCGCAGGCGAGTCTTCCGCTTGGCAGTCTTCAAATTGACATTGCGGCCGGCAGACAGAAACTCAAACAGCTCAGCCAAGAAAAAGTAGACCCCTGTTGGGGATTCGTGGGTGTACACGAGCTTGATGGCGCTGATGATTTGGCATTCCTTGACAGCGGCTAAAACGCCCCCACTGCGCCGTGCTGCACGAGATTTTTCCCATTGCCGGCGACACGCGTCATTTTTCTCGGACGCAGAGAACTGGACTTGATGTCCGACGCGTGGCTTTGATTGGCACTCTCGTGAAACGGGCTCCAACAAGGATTGACCATATTGCTGTTGGTAGTGCGTGGGAACCAAGGCGCTTGATAGCGAAAAGGCTTGGCCTGTCTTGGTTTGGAAAGCATACCGCCGCGAACGCGGAATACGTTTGACAGAAAGAAGCGAAACTGGATATTGAAGCTTAGCGTGGCTCACAGCAAAACTCAACGCTTTCCGCGTTCGTCGACAAAGCGGGAAAAGCGCGACAATATCTGGCGACTTGTGGCGACCAGCTTCGGTGCGAGAAAGCAGGGTTGCTGTCGTTGCGAGGAAGGAAAGGATCATTTGCAAAATGAGATCGCAACCAAAAATCGGGTCAGCATCTCGGAGGTGCACGGCGCAATATTTTCGACCAGGAATGGGAGCACTCTGGCATCCAGTCAGGCAATGGGCGTTCAGAGGCCTGCAATCCCATACGCCCGCATCCGTGTTGGCGCACAGTTTGGTACGAACTTTGGCATTGCCGTCCACGCCTAGAATGCCTCGTTCGCACTTGGAACACTGGTGTTGCAGGAGCCAGCGACCCTGAAATTGGTGAAGCACCTGGTCTTCGAGTCCACGGCACCAGGGTTCCATGCCATTCTTGCCGACAAAGCAATTGATGGAAGTGCGATTGTTTGTCAAAAACTTGCACACGGAGTATTGCAGCCACGAATCGCGGAGATGCTTCTCCAGCGTTCGAATTTTCATGTGGAGCTTGGGCCGCAGCACATTCACAATGCCTCGGAAAGAACCGCCGCAATGAAGCAGAATGTCGGTGACTTGGTCCAAGAAAGCTGTCGCAAAGACGATGTTTTGCGTGATGCAGAAGTAGCGTGGGTTGTCTTGCACTAGCATCCTAGCCCGCGCACCAGTTGCATCTTTGCCCTCAACCCACGGTCCAAAATAAGAGCGACTGCAGGAGCAGCAAGAGTAGCTGAGGAGCAGGACCTGTTCCACGCAATGCAAGCCAAGCGCACAAGGCACTGCGCGAGCGGCGGCACATTTGAGATGTGCGTGGTACGTCAGACAATGTTTCACGTCTGGTTGAACGCATCTCGTGGGAATGTGCTTTGGCAAGTGGCACTCAGCTCCAAGCCAATGCGGGGCACGTCGGAGAAGCTTGCCAAGAATAAAGTCGCAGTCCCTTTCAGACAGGTGAAGATGGAAACATTGTTGTTGCAGCAATGCGTGCGCCACAGACGCTCGACATGCAGGATCCGCGTGGTGGAACGCGAGAACGAAAGCAGGCAACAAACTGAGGGACCCTGGGTACATCAACGAAGAGCACGCGTCGCTGTGGGTGGCCCCGGCTAACATCTCGGTTCCTGGAGGCGGAGGACGAGGATTGTTAGGCGCTACCTGCTTGGCTGCCACGCGCTGGGATTTGACATTCAGAATTTTGGCACTGTGCTCGAAAGGGCGGGCGTCAGTGGCGTATTGCGTGAGCAGCTGCAAGCACTGCTCCATGCGCGGGACATCGAAATCGGGCGGCAACAGGACCTTCAAGTCGGCAGCATACAGACTGGAGATAGACGCGGTCACCGTTAGGCAGGATTCTGCGTACTCCGCCAAGCTGTTCGCCTGCTTGTGCTGGAAAAGATGCAGCAAATTTGAAAATGCAACTTGGGAAGTTGGGCATTGCGGAGGCTTTCTTTTGCGCAGCCTGTGAGCCGCCTTTTCGGAGGTCCTGGTCAAGGCTGCCAACTGGCAATATTTCAGAAGCAAAAACGCGTTTTGGCAATATGGCTTGGCAGCATCTCTTGGTAATGCCACGCCTGTGTCTTTTGCATGAAGTTTCTTCAGCAAGGTCCCCTGGTCAACCATGATTGTGCTTGCGCTCGTGAGAACCCAGTGCGCAGCAACGAAAGCATAGAGTTTGTTGTCCGGGGAAAGGGCTTCCCACCAAACAGTGAAAGACGGGCTAGCATCCGGCAACGAATTGGCAGGGGCAGCTTCTGCGCGAGCAGTTGGGAGAGGGTCGGTTTCGATCAAAGTGATAAGATACGGATACCTCTGCGCAGCAAGCTCGCGCAAGTCGTGCGTGTCCAAGGTGCTGACGAGGTTGGATCCCGGCGCGAGCAGTTGAGACTGCAAGGACAAATAATCGAAAATAGCTTTAGCCGGCTCCACGACTTCGCGAGAAAGCTCTCTGCTCCAAGCCGTGCCTGACTGATCGGCGGCAGAACACGCACGCGCCCAAGAATGCAACAACAGAGCCAAACGCCAGGGAAGTGATTTCAGTTTGCCGGCATGGCTGAAAAGCTTTGGGTCCTGCAAGTATGATTGTTCTTGCGTGAGAACTTGGGCGTCGTAGTGCTCTCGAAAATAATCCAAGGCATCGGGGGCAAAGAAATATGGAATGAATTCCCGCGACGCATCAAAATCAGGAGCATTTGCAGTGTGAACGTTTTCGATTCTTGTGAGGACAGAAACAAACTGGGTGAGCAATGAAGCTGGAAGGACCGGCGCACCTCGAGAGCGCGCAGCCCCCGTGGAATACACCGCAGGTTCGAGGACTGCGTCTGCTTTCTCGAGGCGGGGGCTGCTGTGAAACATGAGAAACCGACTTTGCATGCCCAAGGCACCATCTTTGGCCAGAAAGTCATGCCATTCCTCGACATGGAAAGTCATTGCTAAACAAAGGCATGTCTGGTGCATGGAGAAGCGGTTGTTATCCTTCACAACCGTCCTTTTCCAAATGGAGCCATTAAAGAGCTTGGACACAGTGGAGGCATTAAATCCGGAACCTTCTCCGTTGGCCAGCGCTCGGAGAAGGAACCGGCCTTCATCATATAATCCAATAGCCCGGTGCCCGTTGCGCGCCATTTGCATGCCAATGGCGGGCAACGAGTCTTCGTCGGAAAACAAGGCGGGCTTGTTGTTGTGGATGGCCGCCAATGCTTTCGACAAGGAGGTCTTGCGTTTTTTTGACGAAGGCTCATCTGGCTCCGCACCGTGTGCATCCTCCTCCTCTTCTGCCAGCTGCGCTTCCTTACGAGCTTCGTCCAGCGCCTTTTGGAGCAACTCCTTTTCAAAGCCAGAGACGATGTCTGCCAAGGCTGTCATGATGCCGCTTTTGTTTGCGCCGCTGTCGAGGCATAAGCCCAACCAAAGCAGCGGCGGCACGAGGAAAAATTCGTTGATGAACAGCCTGGCTTTGGAGCATGCAGTGCCAAGAACGGGTAGAAAAAGGAGGAAAGCCCATTCAAAGGGGCAGCCCGCTTTTTGGGCAAGGTTGTCTGTCATTGAATAGACGTCCGGCAAGGCATTTTTCAGCTGCTCATGTGGGAAGGGGGCAAGGTCGGCAAGGATGTATCGAGAGATCAGCTTTGCTCTTTCTGGATCTTTGCGGTACACGTCTGCAAAAGCTCGGTTGAAGTCTTCAGGTGTACCCCGAAGCAAGTTGCCCGGCGAGGCTATACAGGCATTGACTGAGTCGTCTTCCATTTGCGCAGGGCCCGACGCACCCGCTGTGCAACTGGCAGCGTCTGGCGAGGAAGTGAGTAACTCGCATGGCGTAAAAACTGTCAGCGCTTCACGGCTGAGCCGCTCGGTGAGCGTGGGTTCTGCCAGGTTCAATGGAACGGTCGCCACGCACGCTGCATGAGCCGTGGGCTGCGCCCGGCCTAGCCAAGCCTCGGCGTGATCAGTGGAACCTGGAACGCGCAAGAGCGCTTGCAAAAAATGCTTGGTCGAATGGATGAAAACGAACAGGAAACAATTTGGGTTCTTAAGCCGGAGCAATGCGGCGCCCCATTCAATTCGCTGGAAGGTGTGGAAGCTGGAGACGTGGAACAAACAATTGTTGCTGTCCAGGATCAAAAGGTCTACAGGCTCTGCAGGAGCCAACACAAGAGCAAGCTGCGAGAGCCCCCGACCACAAAGATGCTGGCCCATTTCCAGGATGCAAGGGCAAATGGACAACGCTACTGTGTCACGCAGCGTCTCCAAGTGACCTACGCATTCCAAGCGCGTAGTTTTGAAGCAATGGAAAAGGTTTTCCGTCGGAGGTAGAAGCGTGGGAGCCAATCCAAAAACGAGAAGGTGCAGATATCCGACTGCGGGACAAGAGCTCAACGCTGGGACAACAATGGGGCGCAATGTCATCACCACGGGAAAGAACCAAGCATTGGTAGAGTTGAAAACAATCGTTGGAAAATCCACAACACTGCCTTCATACGGCTCGCAAAAACCATCCGACAAGAGAAGCAGATCACCGGCCGGAAGGATCCAAAGCAGTAGCGGCGCACACGAAAGGTGGGAGTGGACGTCTTGAATGAAGGAGAAAGGAAGCTCAGAAGAAAAGCGTTTTGGATGGGAGAAGAAGCAATGCCACGCAGACGAAGTTAAAGCCAGCTGCGCGCAAGTCTTTGCCAAGCAAGCAGAACGCAAGCCACACGCGTTCTGCAACGCCTGAAAGAACGAGGAAGCTCTGCAGTTGGAAGAAAGAAAAGCCAAAGACGCGTCTGCCCAGGCATCAGAACTAGAATCAGAAGCATCGTCACGAAGGAGGGCCGCTGACAGTGAAATCGCCGGAACCTCCCCAACAGTAACAGTTGGACTGTGAGGAGTACGCAGGCGCGGAGAACCGGGGTAACTGGCGCCGAGCAATGTCGAAGCGGGCGTTCGATTCGGGGAAAGCAGCCGGCTTGGCGAAGACTCAAAATGGAAATGATCGTCGCAAAATACCACTGGAGCGGAAGCAGCGGCCGAGGGGACAGAAACAGATCCAGTGGAGTCGGAATCCACTGCGTCGCACCACAAAGGGTTGCCTGCCGCGCTGGTTGCGCCGGCTGAAAATTGGGCCACACTACCGCCATCCAGCTTAACCCACTTCATGCAGCCTGGTTTGTGGGTGTACGGCCGCGGCGCAGGATACTTGCGCGCATGTTCCATGACCCACGCATAGGCTTTCTTGTAGTTCACCGACGATTGGTCAGTAATGCAATGCTTGTTTGCGTTGTCGGGTGCCCAAATGTACTGCGAAGGAGGGCCCGTGGAAACCCAAACGCCAGGTGAAGGTTGCTCACCGATGAGAAAGCATTCGGCCAGGGTGACTTCCCCCACCAATTGTTTGGAACCAGCTTGTGCGATCGCAATCCTTCCCCGCTTCGTGGTCGGCTCCCCGCGAACCTCCCACGTTTTTTCGCCTGAAAGAATGAGCTCGGCCCACTTGCGTTTGATGATCAAAGCCCGTTTGGGCATGGCCACGTCTTGGCGGTGAGCCTTGGTGGAACGCGGGTCGGTTGGGCGGCGGCTGCCAGCTTTGGATCCACTCGCCTTGCCACCGCCGGTCAATGTCAAGGGACCAATGTGCAACACATGTGGCCCGACGATACGCAGCAGAGGCTGCAGCTGCAAGGCTTCGCGACGAGCTTGAGTCAAGACTGGCTGAATAATTGTGGTGTCCCGGTCCGGGCGGGGCAAAGGTGCGGCGCCCCTTAAGCCTATGAAGCCTTTCAGCTCATTCGACTCTGTGGCCGGCCAAGGCTGCGGACAAAGCGAGACCAAGTCCCCACGGGAATCAAACAGCGCAACACTTGCAGGAGAGCATACAAAGGTGAAAGTTTGACATCGCGAAAAATCGATGGGGCGCAGCGCGTGCATTTGCATTCGCTCGACTTCTGTGCACCAGCGCGCGCCGTTGCAACGCCCATCTCAGATCTCCAGCTGAAGCCCGCGTTGGGAAAATGGGGCCTGCAGGCTGAAGAGGTGTGGCCAAGCAACTGCTGCAGGGTGAGGTCCCGTGCTCATGCCTATTGTCAAGTAGAGCTGCGACTGCCCGAGCAACACGGGCGACAACTCGATGACGGCCGTGGAAACTGAAGGGGAAATGCGCGAAGCCATCCGAACGACGTGGCAAAAGTCAACAGAGTGGAAAGTTTGCCATGTTCGATGAAGAGGAGGGAAGGAGCGCGGGTTGAAACACCCCAAAAGGAACTTCTTGTGGATCGGAAAACCTTGGGACAGCAGCGCTTCAATGCATTTGTTCAAACACAGCCTCGTGCAACAGCAAGGGGAAACAGACGCGACCAGTGCATTGTGCTGACTCGCATCGATCAGAAAGGCACAAGCGGCTCTGTGCGTTTGTAGGAACGTCACAAGATCGTTAAGAGCACACAAACACGCCAAAACTGTGTGCTGACAAGTCTGCGGCAGTCGATCCCAGAAGCCCCCGCATAGGTCCAGGCACGGCAGCACGCGAGCGAGGCCAACCCCTTGATGCAAGCGCACCTGTGTCACCCGCACCGGCCGCCGGAAGCCGTTTGACGGAGCGGGCGCCAAATTGGACAGGGGAGCCGATGGAGAATGCAACGCCACGAAACAGTTTAACGGCGTGTTCTTTGGCAAACCGACGCAGCGCCACTGCAGCAGCACAGAACCGTCATTGCCAAACAGGCAGCAGATTTGGTCTTGCTGGCGACATGCAAAAGTTAACTTTTGTGGAGCGATGCCGGCCAACGACAGATCACATGAGTTGGCTTGGAAACTGTCATGTGTGAGGAAAGAGGCCAAGGAGCAGCACTGGCCGGAATTGATGTTGAGCTTCGCAGCAGCCACATTGCGGGCGTCGGGGGGGAAGGTGCTCAAGTGAAGCAAACCCTGCAAAGAAGAAAAGCCGGAAGCAAAAACCCCTAGAAGCAATTCCAAGTCCGGGCACTCCGCCAAACCAGCACAGCGTGCAAAAGATAAATTCAAAGCGAACACCGGCGGTGAAGGAGAAGCAGAACTCGTGAACCAGAAATTGGCGCCATGAGGCTCAGCATGGTAGTGATGCCAGGACCACAATGGATTGCGGGGCCGCGGCGCGAGCGCGAAAGTCAAATGGGCAACAGGGGAGTAAGGACATGAATGGGGCACTGCCTGGACAACCGCTCGAAGACAGAGGTTCGCACAGAGGCGCTGGCATGTGCATGGTGCGAGGCGCAAGTTTCCGGGCCAAGTATGCGGTGATTGGACTAGCTCGCAAAATTCATTGGAGACGCGCGTTGTGTAGCAGAAAGTTTGCGGAGAGAGAGCGTAGTGCAGAATTTGGACGAGGATCTCAGGCTCCAGCGCCTCCAATATGTTGCTGCTTTCTGCGCTTTCGCGCAAGATTACACCCCCGGACAACAAAGGATAACAGTCTCGTTGGGAAGACAACGCGCCGCAAGTTGCAAACAATGGAAAACGACATAAGCCCAACGCCCGGCAAATATGGAATAAATCCATTTGGAAAAGAACCTGCCAGCTGTCGGGCCAAGCAGCTTGCATCAATGTAGCAACGACAGCAACCGGCGCACCTGTGTCCACAGCAACGGTGAGAGGGGTCTCCAGGCGGAGGTTGCGGCTCGCGCCTGGCGCTGATGCGGCAAGCAGCAGCCGAACACAGGCAGCATCCCCATAAACTGCAGCGACATGGAGGGCCGAATCTTGTTCCACGTCAGTTGCATCCACCGGGGCATTGGCGTTGATTAAAAGATCAACAGCTGCTGGCATGCTTTGCCTGCAAGCCAAATGCAACGGGGTGCCGCCGAAATCATACCGGCAAGCGACATCAGCGCGCGCCAGGAGGAGAGCGCGGACCATATCTACATTCTTCTTGTTCAGGGCTGCATACAGAGGGTGCAGGGTGCCTTCTGCAGGGTGATTGGGGCACTGCCCATCAAACAACAGCTCCTGAGCGCAAGCAACGTCATTCAAGTCAATGGCTCGGAGGAGCTCGTCAGCTAAGTCTTTGCGCGTTGGGATCCGCAGAAGCTTGACGGACACAAGCGGCGCAAGCTGCGGGCCAGTCGGGGTTGGACAGACCACGTCGGAGGACGCAAACAACCGCAGGTGGAAGGGCGACGCCTGCAAAACATTAGCAATGACTTTGATGAGAACCATGTGGAGCGATCTGTTCCAGAGGTCCGAAACTGGCAGCGTCACAGTGCAGAGGTGAGCGCCGGACAGGAGAGAGCGCAGCGTGAAAGTGACAAGTTGCTGCTCTGGAAGAGCAAGACTCCAGGACCGTTCTGCGGAAGCAAAACGCAAAGGTCTATCCTCAAAGTTGGTCGGCACCATGCAAGCAAAAGAGCCGCCGGCGAAATCCAAACTCGATGGCTGCATGGCACGGGCCGCAGGCAAGGCAGAAGATCGCCCAAGCAACCCCGCCCGCGACTTTTCAAAAGGAGTAGAGTGAAGCAGAACGAAATGGGGGGCACGGATGCTAAGCAGTCCCAGAACGCAAACAGATGCGGAAGAAATGTGAGACGCCAGTTGCACATCGCCATCAGGCTGAAAATGGATGAAGTCAAGGCCGGCGTGAAGTTTGCGAACTGCGATGCTGTCCGGAAACCAATCGCGCAGCTGGCTGAGCAACAAAATGTGGCGGTGCGACAGCCAAGCTGCGCGGGAGCAGGGGTTGGCAGGGTCCATGGCCATCACAAAAGCCATGAGCTCATGAGGCTGGAAGGTGTGCTGCGCGGCCAGCATCAACGGAAGGAGTCGCTGCATGACATCCGTCCAAGAAATTCATAAGAATTTCGCAAGAGCTCTGTATCCGCACCGTCCATCGCCCTGCACATTGAATGCGCGCCAACCCGAAGGAACGGGAGCGTGAATTCGGACATCCGGCTCAAGCACTTTTGCTTTCGGGGGAAGAAAGGACGAGCGGCGAAAGGATTGGTTGATTGCGCTGTGGTGCAAGCGGCAGAAGCGGTGTCCTGCGAATGCAGGGTGTGGCTGCCCGCACTGTAGATCGCGAAGCTGAAGGAAATCCTGGCGCGCACACTTCGGACAAAAAAATCTAGACAAGAATCCGAACCAGTCGTGTGAATGGCCGTCACTCGCACCTAAAAGCAAACAAACAGCAACAAAAGGGAAATTCACAACGTGCATTGAACAACTGTGTTGAAAGCATGAGGGTATACAGTGTAAAGGATATATGCAACAAAAATGAACGTGCAACGACCCGTACACTGCGCGAAGCGCGAAAGTGTTAGGCAAACGACATATTTCGTATTTGCATGAAACCAGAGACGGACGTAGCAAAAACAGAAATAGTTGAAGCATCAAACCGTGCGATGTCCTTGGAGTCTTCCAACGAGAAGTAGGAAGCAACACTTTGGAAATCATCCGACGCCTGCGCGAGATGGAATGCCACAAAAAACAGAGTGAGAACGTGCTCCCAGCTAACTGTGTTAAAAGAATGACTGTATAAACAGAAAAGGGTATACAGGCAAGGAAACGGGAAATACAATGATCCGAACACTGCGTGAAGCGCGAAAACGAGACAGTGTCAATCAAAACACAGGTTTGACATTTGAATAAAACCAAAAATAGTTGCAGCATCAAAACCGCGCGATCTCCTCTGAGTCTTCCACCGAGAAGTAGGAAGCAACACTTTGGAAATCATCCGAGTCCTGCGCGAGATGCAATGCAAAAAAAAGATTGAGAACGTGCCCCGGCGAACTGTGTCAAAAGAATGACGGTATAAACAGAAAAGGCCATGTGAAACAGCAAAAGACCCCGGACGTGAAGTGTGACATGTGAAAATTGCAGCATGAGAAGGGCACACAAGCTGAAACCTGTTCGGCATGCTTGCGCCTCTGCACAAGAAGCCGCTGCCGTGGGACTTGCTGCAAGTTCGGGGCCAAATTCCTGACGTGTAAAGGGAAGGGCCATGGAAGTGGAAGATGCAGAGGCCGCATTCGACGCAAGAAGGAGTAGCGTTCTAGTATATAGGTGAAGATCTGAAGCAAGGACACGTAAATAGAACTGGATATGGAAGGTGGCATCCTTAGGTTAGCCAGCTTTGAACGAATTGCATTGAAGCCTGACCCCCCCCCGTCCTCGTCATGAAGATCAGCCCACGCGGTGCGGCCGCTCCAGACAAACAAGTTGCTTAAGACCAGAATCTCGTCTTCGACCTGACATGCAGTGCAAAAGTGTGAGGTGTCAGCTTGCATGCACATGCACATCGCCTCAGCGAAGGTACTGAGCTTGAAAAAGCGCGCCATCCTGGCGAGAAAGCCGAGCTGTCCCGAGCGGAGATGAGAAGCCCAAGGTGGCAAGCGAGCAAAGTAAACACCAGCTGAAAGGTCTGAAGTCCGGGCCTTGAACAAGGGAGAAAAGGGAGCGGCGTAGTGACAGACACAAGTTGCGATTTTGAGCGCTTAAGCTGCACGCGAGAATGCAATCAGTATGGAAAGGCTCGGCCAGAAAAGCATGGAAAGAGAGGCTGCCCCACTTTGAAGTTTAAAACGCGCTGAAGCGAGTGAGCAATTCACTTGAGAGTTTGAAGAGCTGCGTGTGATTGAATTATTCGTGCTTGCAAATTAAAAGAAAACTGTTGCAAGCGGCTGTTGTTGCAGAAACTTTTGCATAGCACAGACGTTGTACATGGAGGATGGCAACCCAACGAGCAAGTGATAGGAGTCATACCTGCAAAATGGCGAAGCACAGTAAAACTTGAAATTTGGATAGATTGTTCAGAGCATGTTCGAACATTGGGTGGTCAGTAAATAGATTTGGTAGAAGCGAAATGCAGCAGGGCATGCATGTCAATTTCAAAGACCTATGTGACGAAAATGCGGGTGGAGAAATTGATGTTCAAAGGTTTGGAGGTGCAGATCTTCATGGAGTGGGGTGGTGCAGTAGGGGGGTGGGGTGGAGAAGTGAATGGGGGGAATTAACGTTCAAGTTGCGTGTCAGGTGCATGGCACGGTACGTGGAAGAGGTCTTACAGATGCAGTGGGGGAGGTTTCGGTGTTAATATGGAGCGGCTTTTACATTCAAGTTACGTGGAAGGTGAGTGGCACGTTACGGTCCAGATGTCTTACGCTGATGCAGTGGGTGTGGTGGGATGGAGTGGCATTAACGTTCAAGTGACGTCTAAGGTGCATGGCACGTTACGTTGAAGAATCTTTATATTTTGTTCGGTTACATGCAAGAAGCGATTATACCATAGAATGTAAATGTTATTCAAGAACGTCGCACAGAAGTCACGAATGCAGGACTTGTAAAAAGGGTTCCCAAAGATCTCATGATTTTTGCAAATGGAACCAGAGGCTTTCCAAGCTCATGCTCGTTACATTTCCCCAACAAATCTCTCATATTGGCACAAGTGAAACACAAGAAACTTTTTTTCATGAAGCGATATGTATGCAGACATGAGTTTACATGAAGCCACGGGTTGGCGTCAAGCCGCAGGGTGGCAATGAAGCCACGGGTGGCAGTCAAGCCGCAGGGTGGCAATGAAGCCGCGGGGTGGCAATGAAGCCGCGAAGTGGCAATAAAGCCACGGGGTGGCAATGAAACCGCGGGGTGGCAATGAGGCCGCAAGGTGGGAATCAAGCTGCAAGGTGGCAATGAAGGCGCGGGGTGGCAATCAAGCCCTCAGGTGGCAATGAAGCCACAGGTGGCAATGAAGCCACGGGTGGCAGTCAAGCCGCAGGGTGGCAATGAAGCCGCGGGGTAGCAATCAAGCCGAGGGGTGGCAATGAAGCCGCGGGGTGGCAATGAAACCGTAGGGTGGTGGGGGTGGC